GCTAAGAGTCCAAGTGAACCAACCCTCTATGTGAGAACTGATGAGGTTGGAACTGTGATGATTTCTCTGTATGTGGATGATCTTTTGATCACAGGAAGCAATGTGAAACAGATAGAAGGCTTCAAAACCAGCATGATGAATGAATTTGAAATGACTGATCTGGGTTTGATGACTTACTTTCTTGGCATTCAAGTTAAGCAGACTGAGAAAGGCATTTTCATATGCCAGAAGAAGTATGCAAATGAAGTCTTAAAAAGGTTTGGAATGGAGAATGCCAAGGCTGCTACTACACCACTTCCAGTGAGAATTCAATTGGCAAAAGAAGATGGATCAGGTTCATTTGAACCTAAGGTCTACAAGAGTTTGATTGGAAGCCTGCTGTATCTTTCTGCAACGAGATCAGACATAATGTTTTCCTCTGGTTTGTTAGCAAGGTTTATGCAATCTCCAAGTCAAATCCACTATAACACAGCTAAAAGACTGCTAAGGTACATCAAAGGTACCACTGATCTTGGTTTGAAGTTTGAAGGAGGTAAGGAAGTGTGTTTGGAAGGTTTCTGTGATAGTGATTGGGCAGGATCTTCTGAAGACATGAAAAGCACCTCTGGCTTTGCCGTCTCACTGGGATCTGCAATCTTTTGCTGGAGTTCAAAGAAACAAAGCATTGTAGCTCAGTCAACTGCTGAAGCTGAGTACATTGCTGGTTCAGAAGCTGTCAGCCATGCTGTTTGGTTGAGGAAAATCATGGCAGATTTGGGTTTTGAGCAAACTAAACCGACTGTCATTTGGTGTGATAATCAGTCTGCTGTGGCCATGACTAAAAATCCAGTGTTCTATGGAAGAACTAAGCACATTAAAATCAAGTATCATGTGCTTAGAGAGGCTGAAGCAGAAGGATTGATCTCTATGACACACTGCTCTACACAAGACCAGTCTGCTGACATTTTTACCAAGGCACTGAGCAAACCAAGGTTTGAAGATTTGAAAACCATGATTGGAATGGTCAGTGGCATTGGCAAGGAGGAGTGTTGCAATATGTCACTGGGTGAATCACTCTCAACCTATCTGTGCCTTGAAGCACAAGAAATGAAGAGTGTTGCTGAAGAAACAGAGAAAAAAGAGAAAGCTTGCATGGAAGTGATGAAGATGAAGATGAAACCAGCTGGAAGATGTTTTGGACTATCTGCAACTTTGAATTGAAGCTAAGGATGTTGAGGGACCACTATGAAGGGCATGTTTGCCAATGCCTCTTCTTGTTTTGTTTCTAGGGAACATTGAAAGTGACCCTTGTACCTGGTTTTGTACCATGTTTGCCAATGCCTCTTCTTGTTTTGTACCTGGTTTTGTCTTTAAGCTTTTGTTTGTTTGTTTTAGTAGTTGTAGATGAACCTAGGGTTTGCTGTTGAACCTTTAAAAGGTTGATGCCTCTTCCTTTTGGTGAAGTGTGTGAGAACATATCAAAAACGAAATGGAAAAAGTGGATCTGATGCACTGAAGCTCAGCCACTGTTTGTGTTCAAACTGTTCTTCTACCATTCTGTTTTTTCTGGTTTTACACTGTTACATTGCATTTCTGCAGTTTGTGTTGCTATAAATTACAAACATTGTGTATAAACTACAGAGCCCAGTGTTTCACCAGGCGCTTGTGCGTGAGCTGGACCGCCATTGCCGTAGGAACATTCAAGCGACGGTGGGAATACCGGATCACCGGGAAGTTGAGCGTTTCCGGTCGACGCGCCACCGAAACATAGGATGGTCGCTAGTAGTAGTGCGATGCCGACAATTGTTGTCGAGGATAATTGTTGGCTAGGTAACATAATGGAAATGTATTGGACTGCAAATCCTGGAATGACGGTTCGACCCCGTCCTTGGCCTCGGGGAGTGGCGAGCAGCACGGAACTTTAATTAATCAAATGGCATAAGGGTGCTTTCCTTTGTTAGAAATCCACAGACAACATACTGGAACTTCCAAACCAAAGAAATGCAACATGAGAAGGAGCTTTTTACGTTACGCTTCAAATTTAGTTTTTAGAATACGCCCCATGGTCAATCGAAGGTCCTATTCCAGTAAAACGAAAATTCTTATTTAAGTTTCGAGGTATGATTGTTTGTTTGATTTTGTGGCTCAAAAGGGAGAAAAGTTGTGTTGTCCCTTTTTATAGAGTGGTTCAAGTTGTACACATACGTATGTACACATACGTTTAGCAGTTTATCATAATTACGATCGGCCAAACGATAGATGATGCGATTTTGTTGAAGAAGAAAGCAAAATACAAAGGAAATGGACAATAAGAATGGTACAAGATCAAAAGCAAAAGGCCAAAGGGTTATGTCAGGGAAGCAAAAGAAGACGACAGCACAAAAATGATGGAATAAGAAAAACAGAGAGTTTGATGAAGTTGTCAATTACCTAGACGCCAAAACACTCAAAACACAAGGAAAACTCTAGCAATTTTCAAAAAGTTATTCAATGTGTTTTCTGTTAAAAATTTCGTAGCTAAATTCGGTTGAATTAAAGTCTACCCGGTATGACATAAGCGAAATGGATATGTAAAGTTTTAACCCCTCTAATTTGGCTTAATGCCACGTTTGGTCATTGAGTTTACTAAAATGTGTCATTGATGAGGCGTTAATTGCACATGTTTTTACCCCTATTTTGGAGCCGTTTGAGATGGTAATTCTCGTGTTTTAGGCCAATTTCACGCTAGGTTGTGTTTGTTTGTGATATTTCAGGTCCTAGCAAGTGAATGAAGGTTTAGGAGCGAGTTCGGGGTCGATTGGACGAAGATCGGGCGCGAGGCAAGTCAAAAAGGAAGCCACACGGGCACACACGCAACTCGCACGGCCGTGCAAGTGTCCAAGGAGGCCGTGTGGGATTGTGCGATCCTTCACACGGCCACAAATAATTCCCACACGGCCGTGTGAAGTTGCAATTTGGCCGTGTGGCAATCTGCGAGGCTTCACACGGCCAGGCTGGGTGAGCTACACGGCCGTGTGCCCCTGGCCGTGTGGGAAGCCTGAAACCCAATTACTCGGAACACGGCGTTTTGACCTCACACGGGCAACTGGGTATGCCACACGGCCGTGTGAGTCTGCCCGTGTGAGTCGGGAATTTCTGGTTTTTACCCAATTTCGGGCGGCAAGTGAGGGAATCGGATTTTCAGAGCAAAAACAGAGCCCTAGAGAGAGAAACTACGAAGAACACATCCTAGAAGCTATCTTGGAGCTGGGTTTCATCATATCAAGCTTCGAGATCGTCCTAGGAGTGAAAATCATCATCCCAGAGCAGATTCTTCCCATTGATATGAGTATGACTGCTTTGTATTCTGTTTTCCCCTCTCTCTCTATGGAGTAGAAACCTTCTCTCACTTGGGTATGAAGAACCCTAGTTCTATGTCTTAGGGATTTGATTGTAATGACTTGGGATGATATTACTGCTTGGTTTTAATCGAATGATGCATGTTTATTGAGTCAATTGAAGTCTGATCAGCTTTTCCTGATTTCTGCTGCAACCTGAGATAGATAGAATCTTATTAGGTTGTTAGAGCCTCATCATTCGGTAGTAGGAGATTGGCAAAGGAATGAAGAACCCGGGCAAAATGCAGCTCGTCGTCAAGGAAATCGAAAATCGCGTCGTTCGCAAAGGAATCCGTCGAGAACCATCACTTCCCGGCGAAGATGAACGGATTCGTGACAATGCTCGCAGATCTGATTCATTCGGATGTTAAGGATTTATCCCCGCCGGTGGTGGAGATGGCGGTTAGGGTTTTGGATTCGGTGTAGCTGAACTTGGGGATTTTCACGAGCTGATGATGCCATTTGTTGGAAATATATGTTCCACGTGATGTGGGCTGTGGTTTATGGAATAATAATTGTATTAGTTATTTGTTAAAGTGGGCTAATTATAAGTGGTCAAATTATGGAGCCCAAGACTACTCAATATCTAATATGGGCCCAATGAGTAGAAACCAGATACTAAACCTAATTAGGGTTTTATGGGAACCCTAGCTAAACATAGTATATAAAGAACCTAGAGGTTGTGGTCCCCAAGATACCAAGACCGAAAATACAACCAACCTCACAGTTAGGGCCGAAACTAATAGGTCTCGATTAGCCGCATGTATAGGATGGGAATAATGAGATGTTTGAACGGCTACAAGATCCCTTGCCTATGACCTATATGTAAATAGTGACTTAGCTTCAAATAAAGGCTCTAGAATTAGCATAGTAGAATCACACACACAGTCCGTGTAATCAAAATCTCGTTTTAAAACTTAGGGGTCGTTTGGAGAATGAGAGTCCGAATCTAGAGATTAACGATTCTAGTGATTTTAATTCCTAGGATTGTCTGAATATGATTCTAACATTTTACGTAGGTATTTGGTAAGTGTAACCCGAAAAAAATATAGATTCTAATTTTCAATAAAAATACATATGTGTCCTCAACAATCAAGGCGCCAAAATCAGTGTGACAATTGTTTAAAATCCATTTTCTTTGTCGACTGATTTCTGGTTGCTTCTTGTTCCATCCTTCATTTCTTCTTGTCCTCTTCTTCTACCATACCACTCTGCTGCAAAAAGCAAGAGGCACCCCTACAAACAAAACTTCTTTCATTCTCCAACTAGCTTCTCCGTTGCAGCTTTTATCCCGGACAAATATGAGGAGCATAATTAATTACAACCTGGAAATATAATATGCAACTAGTATAAAGGGTATGAATAAACAATGTAGCAGCTGTGGTTTGTTCGCTAGAATTACTTAAAAAGCTTACATTTGTCACTAAAATTAATTTATTTCATTCGTAGTCACTTAAATTAGGTTAATAGTTCAACTCTGGTCACTGGCTGTTAGTCTCCGTTAACTTTTGTTGATGTGGAAGTCAACTCTTATAGTTGACCATTAAATGAGTGACGTGACAATTAAAAAATTAAAAAATACAATTATTTTTTATTTTTCACCTAATTATTATAAAAATTAAAAAAATCATAATTCCTTTATTATTATTTTTCACCGCCAGACCGTCGTCGTTCCATCGCCAGGATGTCCGACGCTTCCCCTGCAAAGTGCAAACAGCCCTTCCAGCTACTCGTAATAGCTCGAGATCGCCTCGAACCCTTCATCCCCCTGCAGCGACCTCGGGTAGTCGCCCTTGTAGAGCCTGATCGAACTCGATTCTTCCGCCGCCGCCGTTGCCCATCAGTACACGTTCTGGATCGAACTGTCCAAGATGGGAGGGTCGTGCGTCTTTGGAGATTCACCGCCTCCACCATGATCGAAGTCCTCCGGGAACCAGTGAGCGCTCCCGACGTAGCCATGCTGCATTTCCATATCAGACCCGACAACGCCTCTACTCTCGACTGCTTGATTGCCGCAAGGGCTCTAAGCTTTTCTATTGAGTCGAAATCGAATGCGAATCGCCTCGTTGCTAAGTTCTTCCCTTCGTTGAACCAGAGGGCTTCCATCAGATTGAGGTGATTTTCAGGGGAGGGTTCCCTCGGCGGGAACAGACGAGCAGCCGCGGCAAAATCCAGACGAACGACGCCATCCGGATCGCCGTGAGACACGACGTAGAAGGTTTTTAGGAAGGATCGTATCATGGCGGCGTCGACCAGCTGGTGGGAGCACGCCCAACCCAGCGCGACCCCGCCGCAAGAGAGAATAGAGACCTAAAACTCGAGAACAGGGGAGGCCCTGTTTTTGGGCTCTCTCTGGAAGGGCTGTCGGGGGAGGAGGCGGTTCAGAAGCTCTGTCTCGCGGCCTTTCAGGAAATGGGCGATGTGGCAATCGACTCGGGCGTGGGTGAAAGGGGAGCCATTGTCGAACCTGTCGATGAAGACATTGGCGGGTCTGGTCCGGCCGGAGAAAGGGTAGTAGATGTTGAGAATTTCCGCAATGGAGAGCTTCAGGTGCTGGACGATGGCGTCGGAAGGGTGGGGATTCGGATTGGCGTCAAGAATGGCTTAGAAGAAAATGATTGAGGTGAAGGTTAAGGGGAGAAGAACGGCGACGGTCTGGCGGTGGAAGATAATAATAAAGGAATTAGGATTTTTTTTAATTTTTATAATAATTAGGTGGAAAATAAAAAATAGTTATATTTATTAATTTTTGAATTTTTTAATTGCAACGTCGGTCATTTAACGAACAATTATAAGAGTTGACCGTCACATCAACAAAACTTAACGGAGACTAACGGCCCGTGGCCAAACTTGAACTATTAACCTAATTTAAGTGACTACGGATGGAATAAATTAATTTTAGTGGCAAACACGATTTTAAGTAATTCTAGTGACCAACTTGCAATTTAGCCTATAAAAGGAACTCTTTTGTATGGTCAATTGGTCATGATCCAAAACCATGGAAAGACGAAAGAAAGAAAGAAAGTCAGTAGAAAAAGAAGCTCAAAGGGTTAATTGGGGAGCGGATCAGGTCAATAACATTATGGTGATTAAATTAGTAATGTGTAATCCGTCCACATCAGCATGACATTAGTATCCCTCTTTTTCATTGAAATTTTTTTTATCTTATCTCCTTAAATCTTTAAAGGATGATTTCTCTCTCGTTTTAAGTCGGGATTTAAATTTTTTTGCACAGATAAATAAGATTAATTGTGCTCTTAAAAATGATATCCACTTTGATATATTTTTAGAACAAAAAAAATTGAAACATTTTTTACCAGTCAATACCATATGGTATGCTCGTATTTAATACCATATGGTAAGAAAGGACACCATGATGGTATGGACATACCAATACTCTAGGGAGGTTGAATACATAATAGTAGGAGTATAATAACTAGGGGTGAAAATTCGGTCGGTTCGGTTTCGATCGCACCGAAATTATGAATATCGGGTCTCCGAATTCTCCCAAACCTCAAACCGAATGCGAACCGAATAATAATTCAGTTCGGTCGGTTTAAACCAAATTATAATTCAGTTCGGTTTTTCACACAAAACTGATTTTGTGAAGCTACTTGTATTTTCTTACTTTTAAATTATTTTTATCCTAATATAAACAATAAATATGCAATTATATGCATCATCATGATAAAATCACAATTTTAAACACATAAATCATAAAACATTTCAAATATATAAGTCTAATAACAACTACAAATATAAAAATCCACCATTTGGAGCTTGTAATTATAGTATTTCGGTCGGAAATTTGGTTGAAAGAACCCTGATTTCCGAACTATCCATATTTTCCTTCCGAATTCCGAACCGAATAGCATTAATTCGGTTTCAGTTTTGGTTCGGTTCAGGTTTACCGAATTGTTTGCCCACCCCTAATATTAACTGTCATTTACGACTTTCATCATTGTTAATTACCACAAGTTACCACGCATATACCAGAATTGTAAAGTATGGTAATTTTTTGTCCTGTTTTTTTTCCCCAAAATATTTGTAGATCCAATAGATCATGATGAACTCGTTCCTTCTGAGCAAACGTTTAAAAAACGACTTAAAAATGAAAAAGTTACCATATGGTATGTAGTTGGTAACGGGACGTATGAAAAAAGGTTTCTCGAAATATACTGAAAATTGATCTCATTCTGTAGAGCACAACAAACTCGTTCCATCTGTGCAATTTTGTTTTTGAAATTTGAGTTATAACGAAGAAGATAAGAGCCGATTAAGAAAACTAGAGAAAATAAAATGTCTTTATTTTACAATCCTTAATCTAGATTTTTAGGGCCTCAAAAATCTAAAAATCCAGATTTAGTTACTCAATGACCAGTAACCAATCGTTACTGACCGTATCCCAAGCCGATTAATTGCAGGAATAAATGGGATATTGTTGTGAAATTATATCCGGTAGATTATTGATTTTAAATCTCTACCTTTTAGAGAGATTTGATATCTCTATTTTTTAGATATTTTAAATCTCAAAACTTAAATATGGATATGTTAATTGTGGCAACAAAACAAAGCTTTTATTTTAATCACTAGATTCAATAAATTCATCTCCTAAATCATGTTTTCCAAACGACCTCTTAAAGCTTACACTTTTATACTTCTAGGTCACCAAAACGGTTCTACTTAGAATCACTCTCTTCAGTTAAAATTTTAGTCAAAATCTACGCTTAAAAGCTTACGTTCTTATGCCTTCAGGACATCAAAATGCTTCTACATAGAATCACAATTTTGACTACATTGCACACTCAGTAGCTCGATCGAAACAAGCAACAACATTTAAACTATGGACTCGTTCGCAGTAGCTCGATTGACAATAATCAACAACATTTAAACATTCATGTAATTTGATGGAGTTAATGAGTTGAGTAATTAATGTTGGTCTCTAATTCTAGTATGCTTTTTTAATAACGATAGAATGGTGTTATTGTGTGTACTTGTGTAGAATTGAGTTGATTATCGATTTATATCTATTTTAAATTATTTTTATTAAGAGAATAAAGAACTTAAAAAGAACACATCCATATGTAAGAATTTTTTAAAAAGAAACACACAATTGAAAAAGAACAAAGTCTTATGCTAGTTAGGTTATCAATCGATTATTTTGATATGACTTTGCCAAATCACTTGTTTAACAGTTATATGATTAATCTAAATAAATAATCGATGATAGAATATACGATTATAAATAACCGACTAATATAACTATGTGGTTAACAATATGCATAAATTACTTAAAAATTAACCAATAACCGACTAAATAATTAGTCTGATAAACGAGCCGATTATCAACCTTATCAAATATTGTCTGATATAGGATAATATGAAAAACAAAAAAGACTCACCTTTTCATTACTTTGATTAATAATAATATAAAAACATTTGGTTTTATCAATCACAACTCAATCTTTTGGCAATATAATCCTCTTCCTAGCGACCTTCAATCAAACCCATGGTCGCGGGTACCCAAGACCCAGTCAATGTGAGGAATTCCTGCATTCATCGGGTATGGATAAAACTCGTAAAAAGTTTGATGGGTATGAGGTGAGTATGGTTTTAGCCTCCCCGCCTCGTACCCATACCCGCCTCACCAAGAGAATTTCTTCACATATAAAAAAATATGGATCAAATTGTATTCTATCAATGATTATGAGGAATTGAAGATAACTCGAGAAAATAAATAGTAAAAATGCAATTGAGTGACCACCCTAATCAAAACCTAATTCATTTTCCTCAATTCACCCTTCACTCTTTCACTTTCCCATTGTCAACAAAATAATGTTAGTCAATTATTACTTAGTAGATATATAAGAGTTAGAGCATAATAATTTAGAAAATATTGTACTCTATATTATGTATTAAAGGATGTTTTAGGATCATATTTTTTGAACCGTATTAAGAAAATGACCTTATTTTGTTGACTTCATGATATAATAGATTCGCTTAGTGTTATAATTAAAAAATTTCTTCTAAGTTTCAGATATAATAATGTTAGATGTACGGGGACGGGAATTACATGAGTACCCGAAACTCACGGATATGAGGATGAGTTTACAAAACATTTCTCGCATGAGTATGGGGCGGATATGAATTTGGGTATTTGAAAATGGGGATGATGATGGTTTAGGTAAACCCGTATCATTGCCATCCCTACTTGCGAGTGTCGTCAGTTGGTAATTAGGCTTACAGTTTGTTAAGAAATATTTTTTAAGGGCTAAAATTGTTGGTACGGAGAAATTAAACATGGGTTTACTGTTTAAACAATCCTGAGTTTGTAGACATATATGTTTAGCGGTTTAAGATAAATACAATAGGCTATAATGTTTATTTCGATAAGTGATGTAATTTTATTCAAAAAATAAAGGAAAAATACAAACAAAATGGACAACAAGAATGAACCAAAATCAAAAGCAAAAAACCAAAAGGTCATATGATGATATGACAGGGAAGCTAAAGAAGACGAAAGACCAAAAATGATGGAAGAAGGAAAACCCGATTTTAATTAGTTTAGGAGACTATGATAGGAGAAAAAGAAGAAGAAAATATGGGTCAGTATGTACCAACAAGCCAAACACTAAAAACATCAGGAAACCTCTAGCAAGTAGCAATTGTCAAACAGTTATTGCATGGTTTTCTCTGTTAAATTTTTCATTTCAAAGTTGTTCAATTCAGGGAATAGGGTTAAGTTGCATACTACTAAGAGGATTGCGACAGTGAAACTTATACCTATATTGTTCGTTTTTCCTTTTTAAACTGGTGATCGATATTGAAATGAAGTAATTTTGAAAATAAAAAATCATACAACATGCGATAATTTTTCTTTTCATATTTACAAATCATCTCTCCACAATAACCATGACCGATCTCCTCTTCTTCTCTCCTCCACCTCTGTCCTCTGTTGATCGAAACATCAATCTCTCCCTTTCTCTCCGTCGTTGTAGTCTTTCTCCCTCATGCTATCTAAACCAAGCCTCTATTTCTCGAATCAACCACCTCATCAGTGACGCTCTCCATCCGCCTTACCACTGTCTCTTTCGTCCAACATTTGATGCCTCACTCCCTCTCTCCTCCTACCGATGCTTGGCAGCTATAACACCCTGATAGATCCTGTTTCTAGGATTCTATCTGTTGAATTGTGGAATTAGGGATTAAGAACAGAATTAGCGATTTGAGAAGAGAAGGATAGAGAATCGGCCTAGGCCTTTAGAGCGATTGGGAACGAGAATTGAGAGGATTGGGAGAATAGGGTTTGGGAAGACTTTTCTTAATATTCTTCTTCACTCTTAAACGAATATCAAAGTACACTTATATAGGGAAAGATCTAAAAGCCTAACAATAATCCTAAACTTAACCACCAAGTAATTATTTATTCTAATAATTATCTATAATATGAATGTGGTAATTATAATAGAAACCCGTGGAAAGTAGGTTTATATCATCCCCTCCCCCTTGAGACCAACCTTGTCCTCAAGGTTGACCGACTTATCCCACTCCTCCACTCTCCTTGTTCCGGCCAGGTGTCGTCTCAACCGCTTCTTGCGCTTCCTTTTCTTCCAATCCGGTATGAGGACTCGCATTGTTGATCTCGCGATTACTCTTGCAAACTGGCCAAGGAACATTGACTTTAAGGATCCACTCTTTTCTTCCTTTCCCAACAACTTCTTTTTCGTTGGCGCCACAATCTAGTAGCTTAAGGAATCCGAATGTGCTTTATAGCACAAGTACCTATCCTTAAGAACCAATTCATCAAGGCCTTCAAAAGGTTTTATTGAAGAAAGCCCATAAACTTGCCTTTATGTCTCTCTAATTGCTTTTGGGCTCTGCTCTTTCTAAAGCCCAACTGCCCACTCATTAAACCACCATTTTCTTCATCCAAACCCATGTTCTTCAAAGAACAGCCCACCCTGAGCCCAATTCAATCCATAAGACTCAACCGACAAAAAAACTCTTTCTCAACCTGCTTCTCCTCCAATCTCGGCCCATAGTCTGACCCTAACTTGGCCTGATTCCTCTTCGGCCCATTCCACTGGAGTCACCAACCCATTTGGGGCCCGAGACTACCCTCTTGCTCGGCCCAGGTCCTCCTCAACTTTAGCCCACTCTTCTGGCCATCAGCACCCCTGACCCGGCTCCACTGGTCCAATTCAAACCCAATGGACCTCTTCTTCTTCTCCAAGCAGCACCACAAGCCTCTACGGCCCACTTTCATTGGCCTCCTGCCCACTTGACCTTGAACTTCCGACCCAATCGGGATCCCCATGGCATATCATCTGCTCGTGTAACCCTAGGAGACCCAAGGTATGAGGCAGCAGAGACATCCCCGCCGCCCTGCTTCTTCTCAATCGCCGACACCTCAGCTTCTTCCTCCGACGGCGAGAAGATCGGCGACCATCCTGGCGGCTGGCTTGCGTCCGGCCTTGACTCCATCGTCATCTTCTTCTACCCCCCCTCAAGCGACGCGCGAGGAGGCTCAACACCACCTATGTCCTTCTCCATCCCCGACGGATTCCTCTTCAATGGAAACTGGGTTTTGCCCTCAATCGGGGAGAGAGAGAGAGAGACGCCGCCCTCTTCCTCGCTCAGCTTCGCGATGGCGCGCACAATTCGGAGCTCGTGTAGCGACTTCTTGTTGGAGAGAGACGTGGCGCCGCCTCCTCCTTCCTCCCATAGCTCCGCTTCTTCTTTCGTCGAGGTTCTCTCCCTTCTAGTGGATGGCGACGTCACCGCCGATTTCTTCTTCCACTAGTACTCCAGTAGCATCTTCTCCTCTCGCAACGAGCGGAATTCCAGTCTTGTCTCGGGACGCGCCTTCCCTTCGGTCGAAGCCGCCACCAATGCCGTCTTCAATTGGTCGATCGAAGCAGCCACACTCTTCCCCTTCTACAGCGATCCCTACACCGTATCTTTCTCCGTCGACGATTCCTTCCTGAACGGCGACGGGGGTTCGCCATCACCCCACGTATCCAGCTTCCCCCTCCTAAACTTCCAATTGACCCCTTCATTCTGAACCAGCGAACTAACCATTGGAGGCAGAGGGCTTCTGGGACATACCTTCACTGACTCCTCTAACGCCGGGGTCGGTGGGGCCTCCCCGCGACCTGAGAGGTAAGCTCTAGCTTCAGATCGAACTTTTTCTCCCCCGCATACGCCCCTTCCTTCTCGAACGAGGGTCCTACGGTCTTGGAAACCTCAGCGACTGTGGTAGGCAGAGGCTGCTATTTGTCGGTGGCGCCCGGAGTCTCCTTTCCTTGGTTTAGAGCAGCGGCTGGGATACCTGCAGCGAGCGCCCTTTTCTCATTTGTCCCGACACAGTTCATCGTCTCTTGTGAGATTGGAATCGCCGCCGCCATCAGCTCCTCTATAGCCGTTTGGTCTTTCTTCTCGTCGTGGAGAGGAGATGTCGCGGCCGTAGGTGGTGATTGAACTGCGGTGACCCTTTTGCTAATTAGGGATAGGAGTCGTGTGAACTCTGTGTCTCTCCGCTCCCATTCCGCATCTTGTTTGACCATGAGGGTTTGTAGCTTGCAAAGACACTCGTGCCACACGCGATAGTGGTCCTCGATTGAGAGTTGTGATTGTGACGAACTCAGATTGTCGATCATGGCTCTGATACCAAATGATAGAACCTGTTTCTAGGATTCTATCGGTCTGATTGTGGAATTGGGATTTAGGGTTTAAGAACAAGATTAGGGATTTGAGAAGATAAGGATAGAGAATCGGCCTTGGCCTTTAAAGGGATTGGGAACAAGAATTGAGAGGATTGGGAGAATAGGATTTAGGAAGGCTTTTCTTAATATTCTTCTTCACTCTTAAACGAATATCAAAGTACACTTATATAGGAAAAGATCTAGAAGCCTAACAATAATCCTAAACTTAACCACCAAGTAATTATTTATTCTAATAATTATATCTAATATGAATATGGTAATTATAATAGAAACCCGTGGAAAGTAGGTTTGTATCACACCCTTCCATATATGGCGTCGCCATGTCCTCTAGATCTGCTGAGTTCTCTCTGATCTCATGTCTCTCTCTTTCTATTACTCCCTCATGCTGTCTTTCTCTAGAACAAATATGTTTTTTGAAACTCATATCTAAGTTCTGTATTCTAGTATTAGTTGGCATTGGATTGGTATCTGTCCATCCGAACTAGTATTATTTCACTTTGGATTGGTATCCATCCGTCTGAACTAGTATTGTTTCTTCTTGGGTTGGTATTAGTCTGGTTGAATTGATATTGTTTCACATTGGATTGGTATTTTTGAAGTGGTCTAAACTAGGGCTGACAAACGGTAATCCGGTAACCGATTTACCGTTTTATCGAACTGGTAACCGTCGGTAAACGGTAAACCGATTACCGTCGGTATCGGTATCCTGTTGCGCGTGGCGACGATCCAATTTACCGGACACAGGCTCGGTATTTACCTTCGGTAAATCGGTAAATATCGAATGGGGAACCCTGCGTTTTGGGCCAAAGTGAAACCCTAGTTCAGCCCTGCGCCCCTGCCCAAAACGCGAAAATGCGCCTCCTTCGTCCTTCATTCGCTTCGCAAATTCACCCTTCGGCCTTCGTCCCTTCCCCTTTGCACGCAGATTCGCCAACGCAGAAGTGCAAAAGGCCGCCTCCACATCGCCCGCCTCCTCTCTTTCTCCAGTCCGCTTCTCCGGCCGCCTCTCCTTCGCCCGCCGCCTCACCCGCCGCCTCTCCTTTTCCACTCCGCTTCTCATCGCCGGCGAAGAATGAGGCATTGACTCTCCCTCGCCGACGCAGCTTCAAAGAAGGGGAAGAGGGTGAAGAGCGAGCTTCATCCGCCATTCCTCCTCCAGTTGCGGGCCGCCACCTGCCCTGACTCTCCCTCGCCGACGCAGCTTCAAAGAAGGGGAAGAAGGTGAAGAGCGAGCTTCATCCGCCATTCCTCTCCAGCCAACAGGCCAACAGCCAACGCCCAACAGGCCCCAACGCAAACCAGCAAGCAGCAACTCAGCAAGTCAACAACAACCAACAAAATCAAGTCCAAAACAAAATGTATGTAATTGAATTGTTGAAATATTGAATTTGAGATTGTGTTTTGTGTGAATTGAGAATTTGGTGTGAATTGAGAATTTGATGAAACATGTTCCATATTGATGTATGAAATGAACATGGATATGTTCCATTATTGTTGTAAACATGTTCCATATTGATGTATTCTGGATTTCTGGTGATTGGTGAAGATTGGGGACAATGGGACTAGTGGTTTGAAGAGCCATCACCTAATGTGCGAGAGGAATGCGAGGAAGCTAGTGGTCAGTCGGTATAGAATTATCAACCTGGAAGTGGAGATGGTGAGGTAGGCTCTCTTCATGGAAGTTTGATCAGAACAAATCTAGACACACATTAGCTATGATGATAATCTTGGATGAGCTTCTGTTTAGATTTGTTGAGCGGGAGGGGTTTAGGAGATTTATGGCAACAACTCAGCCTTTGTTTGTGATACCAGGAAGACAAATAATAAGATCTTATTGTTATGTCATTTTTCTGGAGAAGAAAGAAATATTGATTGAGTTTTTTTAACTCAAAGTGAAAACGAAGAATATCTATCACTACAGATACATGGACTAGTGATAACAACCAGAATTTTATGTGTGTGACTGCACCTTTTATTGGAGATGATTGGAAGTTGCAGAAGAGGAATATTTGCTTTGTTCCCATTACTAGTCACACAGGGAAGGATATTGCAGATACTTTGGAGAAGTGTCTACAAGAATGGAAAGTGAAGAGTTTGTTTTGCATGATAATGGATAATGCCAGTTCGAATGATGTTCTTGTTGAGTGCATGAGAATGAAGAGGTGGGGAACAAATTTGCTAGATGGGAAGTATTTGCAGTATAGATGTGTGGCACATATCATCAATCTGGTTGTTTCTGATGGATTGAAGGAGGTTGGAGTTGCTGTGGAGAGGGTAAGGGATTGTGTGAAATAGGTGAAGTCATCCCCAGCTCGGATGGCAAAGTTCAAGAAAGGCATTGAGAATCTAGAGATGGATGGGAAAAGACTTCTTTGGATGTTCCGACTAGGTGGAATTCCACCTATCTGATGTTGGATTCCGCGGAGAGGTTTGAGCAGGTTTTTACGTTCATGTATGCTAGTCCTACTGATTCTTCCTTTCGAGAGTGTGTGGATTCAAAGAAGGGTCTTCCAACTGAAGATGATTGGAGCAGTATTAGGCGGCTCATGAAGTACCTGAAGTTCTTCTACGAGCTTACTCTTCGTGTATCAGGTATATTAACTAATAACTTTCAAATTTTAAAATTAAATTGAATGATTATGAGTTATATTATTTATACTAATGTCGGTAAATTTTTCTTTGTATCAGGAACATCATATGTCACCGCACATACTTTCTGCAAAGCCATTGTGGATTTTCATGAAGTGATAGCAAAATTGAAGAAAGATGCAAATAGACAGATACAAAGAATGGCATTGAGAATAGAGGCAAAGGTGAGAAAGTATTGGTTTGAGAATGATGTTGCAGACGAGGAGGACAACTTTAGGATAAATAGGATAGTTTACATGGCATGTGTGCTGAATCCCAGGCGTAAGCTAGACTATTTGACTATGATGTTGGAGGAAACGTATGGGATCTCAAAAGGGGAAGCTTTGGCAGATGAAGTAAAGAAGGAGATGATTGCATTGTACGATGTCTACAAGATGAAGTATGCAACTTCATCCTCTGTTTCTGTGCCTACTACTCCTCCTACTGAGACTAGTGACGGATCTTTTGATATGGAGTCCGCATTTGAAGCTCGGTTCCAGCAGAAGAGAAAGGAGCAAATTGAGAGGGGGGGGGGGTCGAGGTTCTGGTGAGTTGGAGCAGTATTTGAGAGATATTGGTGATGCTATTAATGAGGAGATTGATGATATGAAGTTTGACATTCTGAAGTGGTGGGCTCGGAACAGTGTTAGATATCCCATTCTTTCAGAGATGGTTAGGGATATATTAGCAGTTCCAGTCTCCTCTGTTGCATCGGAGTCCGCTTTCAGTTGTGGAGGTTGAGTTCTTAGTCCTTTCAGGTCCTCTTTAAGCCCAAATATTGTGGAGGCATTGATATGTGCTGAAGATTGGATAAGATATGAAAATGGAAAGCCTGCAGATGAACTGAATGATAAGGAAGAAGATCAAGAGACAATCGATTATGAAGTGGTAAGAATTCAATTTATTATTATAATTTGTCTAGAATCTTTACTATTTAAATTTTAAACCATTCCATTAGTAACATACTAACATTTGTGTATTTTATTTGCACTAGTTACTAATACTTTCCAATCTCGAGTGGAAACTGCAAGTGACATCCCAAGTGGAGAACATGGATCTGTTGTTGGGATTGATGAGGAGGAGGAGGAGGAGGAGGAGGGTGATGATGAAGAATCCACCGAGTCTGACGAAGACGTGAATCATGATGCCGATGATGATCCCGATGATACTCTTCTCAGGACTTTGAAGAAGAAAGGTTGTGCAAATGTTGGTGGTGCTACAAGTTCTACCGGAGAAGGAGGAGCATGAGCTATTGGTTATTAACTTATTTGGTTGTCTATTTTAATTTTTAAGTTTGGACTTTGAACTTGTCTTGAATTTAGACATTATCATTGTCCTTTTGAATTTGACGATGTTTGTCGAATTGTCGTTTGATGAATTTGAATATTTGATGAATGATGATGCTTGATGAGAGTTGATGTTGATTCATGAATCATGATTGTTGACCCTTTGAACTTATGTTAAATTAAATAGATTAATAGATAGCAACTTAGTGTTTGAACTCAAATATTAAGTTATGGCATTAACATAACGAGCACTTCTACTATGCTATATAGTATTGGTGCTTTAATGTACAACTTAAAGTTGTACCATAACATTAAATGTATAAGTTTAGGTTGTACCATAAAGCAATTTGTATTATTATGTTATGGTACAACTTTACAACTTGAAGTTGTACCATCACATAAAGGTACAAGTTCAAGTTGTACCATAAAAGAATTTGTACAAAAAGTATAGGTACAATATGAAGTTGTACCATAACGTAAATGTACAATTTTAAGTTGTACCATAAAAGCAAAATCCTATAGCACCAATACTATATAGCATTGTAAAATTTCTCTAACATATAACATATACTTCATTATTCACAATTATTACATACATCATGAAGAAAAATATTATAAATAAGAGTTACAAATGTTACATATGCTACATGAATGTAAGTAAGTATAGGCCTAAAAATGTTATAAATTATTAATTACAAAAATGAAGAAAAAAACTCAGAAAAATCAAAATATTACAACATCTTCCCCACTAACAGAAATTCGGTTCGGTAACCGAACCGAAAAACCGCTCCACGTCGCCCCTTGCGGTAATTCGGTAAACCGGTTTGTAACCGTTTACTGGTAATTCGGTAATCGGTAAACCGGTTACAAACAGGTATCGGTCAATGGTAAATAGTTTGGCCAGCGTCGATATACCGAAACCGGTGAATTCGGTAAACAATTTACCGTTTATCGTCCGAGAGCTGCAAAAACAAGCAGAACTCCTCTCAAGTTCGACGTAGACGAAGCATCACACTATTACATATAGCAGAGGCGGATCTACGTTGGGGCTCGGGGGCCCAGGCCCCCCCGAGAATTTTTAAATTCGCGTATAACTACAACGAGCATTTTAGAATTACGTATTAATTAGATGTTCTATAAATACCAAATATGGTTGTATGTTAAACAAATATGGTTGTATGTAGTCAAGAGGAGAAATGACTGTTTATTATGTTTGAGGATGTGGGTTCGATGCAAAAATTTCAGTATAGTCACTTAACATTCATACTTAGTCTTCTTACACGCTTTAACTTCAATCTTGTGAATTAAATCCATTAGTTTATACATTATATCTTCAAATATAACTTTGGATATGTACCAAATTAATTATTTTTTATCATTATTCGGATACATTTATTTTTTACTTATAATAATTGAAGAACATTTCACAAATAAAAAAAATGATGATTATTTTTGTAAACAATTTATTTAATAATGTTGAACATATTGTTGCTAAAATTTTAATTTAAATCACAAATTTACTGCTAATAATTAACTTAAATAATAATTTGTAATATTACATTTATATTATATTTTTATTTTCTTTTATTTTATACGTAACATGTACTAAAAAATTTCGCCCCCCCCCCCTCCCCCCGGCCTGAAGTTCAAATCCTGACTCCGCCCCTAACATATAGCAAATCTTTTCAGAACTTGATGTAAGGACGAACGATATCGAAACATTTCAGAACTCGATGCCAAAGCCAAGATCCCACTGAAGCTTGTTGCAGGTCCCATATTGCTTTGTTCTTCACTTTGTATTGCTTGATCCAGGAATCCTAGATCAAGCCAGCTTCAGCAAAGGTGTTCCAAATGTGCCTACTGACACAAGTTTGGTTACAAGTCTTGAAATCGCGACTTCCCAACCCTCCTTCTAACTTTGGGAAGAGCAACATAGCTCAAGAACCTTGCTTTCCAACTTCTTACTTTGGCTGTTATCCTGTCAACCAGCTTTTGACAGTCAATGGAACTTCACCCAAGATTAAGAGTACTCAAAGGTACCTCACTGTAAAGAGTCTAGTTTGAAACCTGTAGCCTCAGAAATATAAAATCTTCTCCTTATTTGAGATACCTTCACAATACAAACTACATTTTGTCATGTTGTATTGAAGTGCTGAGACCTTATAGAACTGATCCATTAACCTACGGATACCAGCTACAACCCTCACAGATCCATTGGCGAATACCAAGAGGTTGTTAACAAAATACTAAAGTGTTATATCTAGAGACTTGCATATGGGATGATAAGGAATCTGATATTCATTTACAGCCCTAACCAACAAACATGAAAAATTCTTCCATTGTCATAATGAGAAAATATGGAGAAAGCGGATCTCCCTGCATAAGTCACCTTACCAGCTTGCAAAAAAAAAAAAAATGTTTCGATGCTCTGATACCATAATAAATCGTAAATACGCAATCAAGACACAAAAGTTTTACGTGATTCCCACGACTCGTGAATGACCGATACTAGTCCACGAAAGATATCTACCTCGTTGAGATTTTAATATTGTTACTTTATTACATTGGTCGGACGACCTACACCTTCTTTATATAACACAGACTGCTCTCTACCTAGGTATTCAACAGAAGAAGACGTATTACAAGTAAAAGAAAGACAATGACTCCTTGTCTTACAAGTAAAGCTAATCCCAGCAACAGGTAAAACAAGAGCCGACGTGGGCTTTGACAGTATGGGCCCATCAACATCATCAACCCGGTCCAATAAATCTTAACAATGATTTCTTAAACAAAATGGTTGCATAAAACTTAAGGTTATAGGTATAATATGTCTCTCTACTATGATATTTTATCAAACATGCTTCTTTACTATTTTTCACATTAAACATGCCCTTCTGCTAAAATTTCCATAGAAAAAATCGTCAGTCATGGTTGAACCGAGATTTAGACGACCAAACATCGGCAAATAGGAGGGAAAATATTAGTTTTGTCCGCCATTTTATTTCTATGGGTCTCTTCAAAGTGAAATTATTTGAATTATTTGACTATACAAAAGAACCAAAAAAATTCTGGAGTGAAATTATTAGGGATATTTTAGATATTTGTGTCGTCGAAACTAAAGTTCGGCGTTGGTTAACGGTTTTTTATGAAAATTTTAACAAAAGTGCATATTTGTTAATCTTTACAAACTATAGGGGCATGTTTGACGTAAAAAAAAAAGTAAAGGGACATGTTTGGTAAAACATAATAATAATAATAATAGAGGAGCATATTATACCTATAACCCTAAAACTTACTTATCACCATTTCACAATTGTTACTTAAAATAAAAATCCATGATATAAAGTTTACTGAACGAAAGTTATTTCTAATCATTTAAAGAATGCGTTATGCAATACTTTTGTAAGGATTGTAAAACCGCAAAAGAAGTTGTAGCGAAACAGTTAATGATATGGTATTTTGTATTGAAACGTATTTTTAACTGTGATTCAACCATTTCATACCGCTAAAAACAATTTACTGATTTAGACGTCGATAAGACCGCCGATACGGTATGCCATTTTAATACTTGCTTTTGCATTATGGTTAATTAATAATTACCTATAAAAATTTTGAATCATAATTTTTTTTTGATAAATCACCTATATTATTTCATTTATAACAAAATATTACAAGAATCAACTTCAAGTTGTGAGATGATGAAAACAGGGGGTCGACCAACCCAAGATTTGGTCTCACCCCAACCACACAAACAATGAGTCATAATGTGAGCAGCCTGGTTGCTGGTTCGACCCGAAAAATGGACCGAAACCGAGCCAACCCTATCTAACATATCCTTAATCTCATCCACCAGATCACCTTCCTCTAACAACGACCCTTCTTCTCTCTTCAGTAGTGAGACCGCAGTCTGGCAGTCCGACTCGATCATTCCGGGCAAAAAATGCTGCTGCTCCGCCATTTTCAGACCAAAGAAGGTCGCTTGCAACTCGGAGAATTCAGGAGTCCAGGAATCCCTAACCCTCTTCACGGCGGCGAAGCAGAAATGCCCCTGCCGATTGCGAATAACCACCCCCAATCCAGATCCTCCTACCTCCAAGCAGGCCGCATCGACGTTGATCTTAAACTTGGTGTTCTTAGGAGGCCGCCACCGGTGAACCCTCTTCTCCGATTGGACCAGCCTGTCCTCCTGATGTTCAAGGTATTCCTCCAGCCATCTACTCGTGCCACAAGGAATTTCCCAATTTTGCATCGTCCTCCTCCTCCTGAAGCTTCACCATCCATTCTTCACAGGTAAAGTCTTCTCTCTTCTCGAACATAGCGCGTAGGGGTCTAGGCCGCCACACTCTTCTAACCCACCCACAGTCTAGGAAGATATGGTATTGAGTCTCACTTAGTCCACATAATGGGCACTCGTCACAACCCCTTTGAATCCTATCCACTACATTCGCCCGAGTTGGTAGCACATTTTTAATATACTTCCACCCAAAAACCTTGACTTTAGGAGGTATTCTCAATCCCCAAAAGCGGTCCCAATCAATAGGAGTGTACAGTTCGCCCAATGTCTCCTCCTCCCTGTTTCTCCATAAATGGGATGCAGACTTCACACTATACAAACCTCTTTTCTCCAGTCTCCATACTAAGCGATCCTCACAAGGTTGTCTTGGGATGGGAATTCGTATGATATGCTTTCTTTCTTGAGGATTAAAGTGTGTTTGCAAGATGCTTTGATTCCAGGTTCTTGTGGACAAGTCTAGAAGTTCACAAACATATGTAGTTTCTCCCACCATAGACACAGGGGAGGTGACTTTGTGTTGTTCAGCCGAGGGAACCCATCTATCATGCCATATATCCACCTTGTAGCCATCTCCTATCTTCCATCTCACTCCTTCCTTTACATTCTTCTGGGCTGCCAAGAGGCTCCTCCACACATAACTTGGGTTATACCCTAATTCAGCTTCGAGAACAGGTCGAGTAGGATAGTACTTTGCTTTCATAACCCTGGCCACCAAGGAGTTTGGATTTTGAAGCAAATTCCAGACCTGTTTTCCAAGCAAAGCTAGATTAAACTCGTGAAGGCTTCGAAACCCCATTCCTCCCTTAGATTTCCGAGTGCAAAGTTTTTCTCAACTAATCCAATGTGTCCTGAATTCACTATTCTTATGTCCCCACCAAAAGTTGGAGAATAGGCCCTACATTTCATGGATCACAGTAAGCGGGACTAGAAACACCTGCATGGCATAAGTAGCCTGATCTTGGGCAACGACTTTAATTAGGAATTCCTTTCCTCCATACGATAATAGGTTGCTCTTCCAGAGTTTAACCTTCTTTCTTACTCAATCCACTAGATAGCTGAAAACCGCCTTCTTTTGACGTCCAACCACAATAGGCAGACCCAAATACTTGGAGTGTTGATGCACCACCTTCATCCCGAGGATTTGGGCAAGCTCATCCCCGATTTCTTCTTTGATGTTAGGACTAAAAGCAATCTCAGACTTCATTAGGTTAACCTTCTGTCCAGTTTCTAACTCATAGGTGGAGAGTAGATCCCGCAAGCTTTCACACTCCTGTCTGTTAGCTTTGATGAAAAGCACACTATCATCTGCGAACAGCAGGTGTGTGATGGCTGGGGCACCCCTCAAACTTTAATTCCTTCAAACTTCCCTTCCCTTTCTGCCTTTTGAATAAGGCACGAGAGACCTTCACCAATGAATAAGAAAAGATATGGGGAAATAGGGTCGCTTTGTCGAAGGCCTCTCGTCGGATAGAAGGTCTCTGCCTGGTGTCCATTAACAAGAAGAGAGTAGGACACTGTTTTAACGCATTTCATAATCAGTGCAACCCACATCTCTGCAAAACCCAACTTCCTCATGATTTCTTCTAAAAAATGCCACTCCACCCTATCGTATGCTTTTGCAATGTCCAGTTTTGCTGACATGAAGCCATTCTTCCCTTTAATCCTGCCTTTCATAGAATGAAAGCATTCGAAGGAAACCATCACGTTGTCTATAATTAATCTACCCGGGACAAAAGCACTCTAAAATCACTTCATTAAGTAAACTCTTCAACCTGTTTTCCAACATCTTCGAGTAGATCTTGTAGAGAACCTTACACAAGCTTATAGGGCGAAAATCAGCTGCGGTTTCATAAATCCTTGCACCTCTCTCACCAAATCCTCTCCAAGCTGATAAGGCTATAAGAGTATGATTTAAGTGATTGTGGGAAATCTCTAGTCTCCATAAATCCCTGCACCTCTCTCACCAAATCCTCTCCAACCACGTCCCAGTTCTTTTGAAAAACGCTGTTGGCATCCCATCAGCTCCTGGTGCCTTGAATGGCCCCATCTTCTTTAGTGCTCCCCAGACCTCCTCGGCCTCAATCAGCTTTAGTAAAGCATCATTCATCTCCCTGATTAAATTTGCAAGGGACAACATCCAGGACCTGTCTTGAAACACTAGAGGGACCTGCAGTAAACATAAACTTAAAATAGTTAGAAAAACAACCCGCCACTTCCTGCTGTCCCTCCTTGATGCTTCCATCCTTGGCCCTAAGCTTTCGAATGGTATTTCTGTTTCTTCGATAAGAAGCTTTCCTGTGGAAAAACTTAGAGCTCTTGTCCCCACCCTTCAACCAGTCCGCTCTTGAGCGTTGTTTCCATATTAGTTCCTCTTGGATCATGATTTCATTAAGTTCTTTCTCCAAAGCTTTCCTTTGGATTACAGTAGCAGCATTCATCTGCCTTTTCTCTAACATTTCAAGGGCCCTTTCTGCTTTTATGTACCTAAACTTCAGGTCTCTGAATGTCACTCGACTCCACCCTTGCAGCTTCTCCCCGCAGTAGCCAATTTTATCCATAAAGGAACTATTTGCTGCTTCACTCCAGCTCTCCTTGATAACTTGTTTGCATTGCTCATGACGCTGCCAAAAGGGTTCAAATCTGAAGCTCCATCCCCACCGTATTTCATCGTCTACCAGTTTAGTCTTAAGTAGGATAGGAGAATGGTCTGATCCACATCTTTTCAAATGATGGACCCTAGCATGGGGAAACAGATCCCTCCGGTCAGCATTTGCTACCATCCTCTCAAGTCTCTCCTCAAGGAAAGTCTCGTCTGAGTGATTATTGTCCCATGTGAAAGGTTTTCCATAGTAACCTAGATCCTCCAAACCGCAATAATCTAGAGCTTCATTGAACATTTCCATTTCACTCACATCTGGGAGGTTCATGCCATTCTTTTCTTCATAACCTTGAATTAAGTTAAAATCGCCTCCCATCAACCAGGGGATGTCCTACACATCTCTCAATTGCTTTAGAAGCTACCCCATGCAATGTTTGTTATCCTACTCAGGCCACTGATAAATCCCAGTGAACCTCCATTGAAGCTGCCCTTCCGTAATGCAAACGTATATATGGTTTGTCGATTTGGATTTAACCACTATATCCAGGTCCCGCCTCCACATTAATAACAAACCCCCCTTGCTCCCTATGGAGCCCATACCTCTCCCCTTCTCCCAGCCCAGCTCTTTCATAGTTTCTTCCCATTCGTGACTCTGTTTTTTTTTTTGTATCCATTAAGAAGACAATATCAGGGTTTTGACGTCGAAGCAACTGCCCCACCTTCCTAATTGCCAGGAGATTCCCCAAACCCCGGCAATTATAGCACAAGATATTGATTGGGCTGGGCGGCTTTGGTCCTGTCAGAGTCTGCCATATCACCAACCATATTAGATTGTGTTTGTTGCTCTCCTAGTTTTTCCAATGCTCGTCCACAGTGGTCCTTCTCACATGGACTCGAGCTACTTTCCTTTGCTACCAGAGCTCGCTTTACACCCTCACGAACCTCTACCTCCATTTGCTTCTCCTCAGCCAGTCGCTTTTGGGGGTGACTTTCTCCACACTTTCTTTGGTTGAATTGCGCCTAGCTTGTGAGAGCCTAGTCAACCTCCCTTTTCTCTCCACATTGATCTTACCCACATCCCCTGACCCAATACTAAAAGTCACATTCTTCTCCAATATAACAACCAATGTCTTCTCTCGTGCTTGCTCCTCCATTTCTTCCTCGTGAGCTTTCTTTTCAAACATCCTCATATCTACTTCACCCCCAGGTTCACGTGATTCCGTTAAGACTTCCATTCCATCTGGAGTTTCTTCCACATGATCATTATGCTCTACCTCTGTTGTTTCAATATTGCTCCCACCTTTAGTCACCAAGTGCTTAAACTCACCTCGATAGTATTGTTCCTTTATAGATTTCCATATCATCTCGCTTTTCTCCTGTTCCACTTTGTTAATCCTCGGCTTTGATGGATGAGGACTCGCCCTCAGCCAAGGACCATAACGGTCCTTAAAATCCTCAGTCTTCTCAGGACAGTATAGCTTGGGGTGTCCAATCCTACCACATTTATAACAAAACATGGGCATTCGTTCATATTTAACTTCAAAACTTCTTATTTCTCCTCTTATGCACAGGTTAAGATCATCCCTCAAAGTAGTCGTGATATCCTTGGCCACCCTGATCCGCATTATGTCACTCCAAGGGTCAGAGTGCTTTTCATCGAACAACAGAAAACGGCCAAAGCGCGGTGCCACTTTCTCAGCCATCTTCCTTGACTTCATCTCAGCAGGTATGAACGAAATCTGGATCCAAACTTCCATCTCTTTCATTGTTTCCGCCACTGGCTTTTTATTTAAGTTTGTTTGCTCAAAGATCAACAGGTTGTTGTCGTAATGCCAGGCACCACCGTGCAGAGCTTTGTTCCTGTCATCACTGTGGGCAAATTGGAAGGAAAAAAGTTGACCCCCAATGTCCCGTATCTCAAAAGGTTTGATAGTATGCCAGACTTTCTCCAGCACGCCTTGAAGAGCCCTGACACTAGGATTTTTGCTGGCCACTAAACGTGCCAAAAGCCCCAACCTCAGAACTGCCTCACAGATCCCTTCCATCATGTCTTACGTATCCACTACCAGCACTGCATCTTCATCATCTGCCAGGGTAACCCTCTTGAATTCGCCAACAAGTTTATCAGACTCCCCTTTCCCCATTTCTGTGGATTATACGTTAGAGTTTGGGTTGCCTTGTTCTTCAACTAGACTTACATCCGTCTTCGCCGACTCCTGTTCCATCGCTGTTGATACAACTTACAAGAAAAAACCTTGTAAAAACAAAAACTCTTTCTCAATTATGTAACAAACTAGCTAGTGCAGGAGCTCTCACCACTTCCAAAAAGAAACGCTCACCCCAACAGCCCTATACATAGACTCTCTAGAATGGACCTTGAAACTAGACCCTAAACCTAGAATGACAAGGAAATCACCAAGGACTCCGTTTCCAAGCGTGATAGGGAAAGAAACTGAAGAGAAACACAATGATTAGCTCAGAAGCAGCCTAAGAAACGCTAGAGAACCAACGGTACGAGGTGCCGCCGCCAAGAAAACCCTATCCGAAACTCTCGCAGCTCGAGAGAAAAAACTCTATGAAAACAAATATTGAAATGGGGATGACAGTGGACTTTCGTGGATGGCAATTATTGGTGGCCAGTTCGAAAGGGGTTGAAACTTGAAACCATCACTTGCCAACCCAACAAAAAATCACGGTAAAGAGTTGGGAAATAACTTAAACCTGTCCGCAGGAAATCCATTCACTAATGAATAGTGAAACCCAATTAGGATAAATCCGATTAATTCGGAATCAATAGTGTTATATACTTGCGTTGTGCCATTAATTAACTAACTAATAATAGAGTGGTTTGCAATTAACTAACCCATTAAAAACACAAACAAACAAAATTGTACGAATAGAAATAGAGATTAAAACTAAAATTTGTTACGGTACACATGGTTGATGGAATGACGTCTTGAGCTCTTGTGCCAAAGAACGTTAAATTCAAAGAAATTCCGATAAAAGAGAACAAGTAAATATTTGGATTCCAATCTTCAATGACATTAAACGGAAAACCAAGTACATATTTATAAAGTTACATAAGCTTTTTTTTTTCTTCTCACCCAAGGCATTTGGTCTATCTCCTTGTATTCTTGCCCCCACTCGAATTTCCTTTCTTCCCTTACAATAAACACTTATTAAATACTAAACAAGACTAACACAACTCCTAGTCCAACTAAAACACTTATAAGTTATAACTAATAATTATAATCAAAACGTCTTCAAATAAGACGAAACATGTAAAGCATTGAAGGATACGCAAGCCTAATTAATTCTTGTTCGAAATGCCACGTCGACTCGATCTCGTAACATTCGTCCAGTCAACGCGGGGAGAATTTCCGGCACGCCCCGGCCCGGCTGTGATTAATCACGCGCCGATTGGGAAGAACGTCATTGAGCAGTCAGCATTCTCACTTCTACCTTTGGCGTAACTCTTGCACGTCTCCAGGTTCTTCTTTACGCCGGCAAGACACGCCTCGCATTCTGCCACCCCGAGGGTCGTGCTGCAGGCGGCGGCGCCACGTGGATTACCGGTGGCGTACTCCGGGTACCAGAATTGGGCATAGTACGCTTGACTGTTGGGAGCTGTCGTCTCCAGTGCCGTAAGAACTTGCTCCACGTAATAAGCCCAGTTGGAACCCAGTGCGTCGCTGGCGCCATCGCATACAGGCGACGGGAATTCCGTGCTACCAGCAGTTATTTGAGCGTTTCCAGTCCACGCGCCGCCCAAACATGTGATGACTGCAAGTAGTAGCGCGCCGGTGATTATCATTGTCGACGACGACGAGGGATACTGCTCCATTTATAGTACGTAGCTTGTCAGTCGCCAGCCGGACGGCAATTATATATGAATGAAGATAGCCTCGAGAACTCAGGTTGTATTTAAGTTCGATTTGGTCGGAGGGAGAGAAGTACGTTCTCCGTTATTATAGAGTAATGAGATCAGGCTGTGTGTTCTTAGTTAGTTTACAAGATTAAGTAAAATAATTGATTATATGCACTTGCATAGATGGTAGGGACGTGACATTTATTATCTTTTGTCAAAAAAAAAAAAAAGGACGTGACATTTTATGTGTGAATAAATGTTATTTAATGGTTAAAATTGTAGGGAGAAATTAAACGTGGCCTTACTGTTTAGCGGTTTAGCCAATATTTCTGTTTTGTACCGATTATAAAATTAAAAAAACCCTCCTTTTGTACACATATATTTAGCAATTTAAGATAAATACGATTGAACATAACGTTTTTGTCTACAAGTGATGAAATTTTATACAAAAGAAAGTAGACAAGGAAAGTCTGTAAAGAAATTAAGAATGAACCAAGATGAAAATCAAAATGACAAAGTAAAAGATGACGAAAAACGAATTAAATAAATAATGGAAGAAGAAAAAACAGAGTTTAATTTTTTTTAATAATAGAGGTTAATTAATTAAAGAGACGTTGAAGGGTTAATTTCAACTCGAGTTATTGAGACCAACTGGTTTATGACATGGTATCAGAGCCTTCTGTGACCAAGAGGTATTGCGTTCGAATCCTGGTAACCCCCTTTGAGAGAAAGGATAAAGCAGACAAGAGAGAAAGGATAAAGCGGACAATTCTAAAAAACGCTCCTAAAAATCTGGAGCGGTGAGACGGCGATACCTCGCTCGAGCGGCTAGGGTTTCCCGACGTTATGCAGGCGGTGAAGCCGCCGCTGGACGGGGATGGTGCAACACCTCCTGAACAGATAGAGAGTGTGGCCGGTCAACGTAGGCCTCCTACGGAGTCCTCCTCACCAAACCCCAAAGGAGATCGGGAATCACAACAATCCAAAAAACGTGCTAAGCAAACAACGGCTACGCCGGCAAATATCGTCGTCGAGGACGTTGTCATTGATGATACTATGAGTGAAGAGCAGCGCACTCCACCACCAGCGAGCCAACGACCATCTGTCTGGGGTTCAAGTGCGGGTGCGGCGCGCCGACTCTTTGGGAATACGACGAACAATGAGACGTGGCATATTGCAGACTCGGACTCAGAAGATGTTGCTGAAGCAATGCGCCAAGAGGGGAGAGACGCAGGTTTTGAGGGTGAGGTTGATCCGAAGTGTCCACCGATAGAATTCACATCGGCAGAAGGGCGCATGTTCTGTCGAGAGTGGCGGTCGGCCCTTGTGCTCAAAGTTCTAGGTCGCTCCGTATCCTACACGCTCATATTGAAGTGGCTAACTGGCCTATGGGCTAAAGCTGGGACGATACTAGTTACTTCAGCTAATAATGGGTATTTCCTTGTACGGTTTACGAGTGGTATTGATTATGATAGGGAAGTGTTGGGAGGACCTTAGATGGTGGGCGATAACTACCTTACTGTTCACCCCTGGACCAGTGATTTTAACCCGTACAATCATGAGATTACTTCTAGGCTTGTATGGACTCGTTTGTTAGAGATGCCAATTTAGTACTTTCACCCGATTGCAGTGATGAAGATCGGCAAACGCATTGGGAAGCCTATTTAGGTGGACCATGCGACGAGCACGGGAGCTAGGAGTGATTATGCACGAGTGTGTGTCCAAGTGGATATTACGAAGCCACTTCTGTCCCAGTTTACTATCCATGGTATCAAGTATTTCATACAGTATGAGGGACTGGAGAAGATTTGTCTGCAATGTGGATCGTATTTCGAGCGCACTAGGTGTTCTTGTTTAGCCCCACCAGAAACTGTGAGCCCAGACCCACCGAGCCCTAGTGAATTGATGGCGAATAAAGAGCCTGAGAAAATTTATGGGCAATGGATGATAGCGAAGCGTAAGCCGAGACAAAGGAAGGAAAACCCAGCTAGCCTGACAGAGAAAGGAGTTAACAGGCAGAACTTGGCCCCGGAGACTGACCGGATTAAGACTGGGTCAAGATTTGAGGCGCTATCCGGTGAGGAAGAGCGAGAGCAACCTGTGGAACGGGACCAAACGAGCTTGAATCGGCCTAACTCCAACAATAAAAATGGGAGAAATCATAGTGCAAAGGCTAAGTCAAATGGAAAGGATGGCAGGAGAGAAGATGCTATAGATGCAAGCCATGCACGTATGCATGGGAAACAACCCATGGAGAGGACGAGTGCCTCTATCCCCCCACGAGAAAAATCGTCTTTGAAGGCAACAAGCTCTGAAGTAGGGTCTCGGGCCGGCCTGAAAAGTCACACCCCGGATCTTGAGGCAGAAAGTGGTGGGGAGACTACTCCGAGGGATATAGCCACGAAGGAAACCCCCGATGTTTCCATGTTGTTGACCATCGAGAACCAGCAGCTAGAATCTCACAATAGATCACCGGACCTAGCATTTAAAGAGACGGAGGGGTTTGGAAGTGGTGATGTGTCTATAGGGGGGAAGTCGATGGAGATCTTAAACGAGTTTGTTGGGGATGGTCTTGGACCCAAGGCCCCTCAAAATCATGCGTAATTACTATGTGTCATGCTAACACCTGCCATTTCTTAATGATGCTAAGTATATTTTCATGGAACTGTAGGGGGGCAGGAAGTAAGCGTTTTCTATGAGTCATTAGGGAATATCGTAGGAAGTATCGACCGTGTATTACTGTCATAGTTGAGCAGAGGATTAGAGGGGACAAAGCCGAGAAAGTGGTCCAACGTCTCGGCTATGATAAATATTTGGTTGTTTATGCGGCTGGATATGTGGGGGGCATCTGGGTAGCGTGGGACTCGAACATGGTTACTATTGATAAAGTTGATCGCTCTAGTCAATTTTTACATGTTAAAGTGGTGTCGGAGAATAAAAGTTGGCACTTATCAGCTGTGTACGCTAATCCAGCCCTGATTCAAAGAAGGGAATTGTGGCAGGTGATTAGAGTGTTGGCGGAGGACATGGTGGAACCGTGGCTGCTGGTGGGGGATTTTAACTCCATCCTTCAGCCTGCGGATAAATTGGGTGGTGCTCCTTTCAACGCTTCTAGAGCTCGTGAGTTTCAAGATTGTGTGTTGGATGCTGTTTAGTTGATTTGGGTTTTACAGGGCCGCCATACACTTGGTTTAGTGGGGGAATCAAGGAGAGGCTAGATAGAGGACTCGCAAATTCTTCTTGGTCGGGAGTGTTCCCTGACACTGTTGTTCGATACATCCCAAAGGTAAAGAGCGATCACCGCCCCATTCTGACCACTTTAAATCCAGATTTTCGAGCCCCGGGGCCAAAGCCGTTCAAATTCTTGGCTTCCTAGCTTACACATGAAGGCTTCAATGACATGGCGGCGGCTGCCTAGGCTCGAGGGGTCGATCTTTGCAGTGCTATTTTTGAATTTTCTAAAGAAGCACAGAGTTGGAACTTTCACACCTTTGGGCATATCTTGAGGAAGAAGAACCTCCTTCTTGCGCGCATTGAACGCCTGGAAATGCGGGTTACGGGAGGGATGGAGCCTACTACATTGCAGCAAGCTAGGGATGAGCTTGAAGTCATTCTATTACAAGAGGAGCTCTTATGGGCTCAGAAGTCGAGATTAGAGTGGGTGATCTCGGGGGACAGGAACTCCAAGTATTTTCACGCTAGGACTGTGGCTAGAAGGCGCCTAAACTGAGTTTCATCTTTAAAGAATGGTGAGGGAGTTTGGGTAGAAGATCAAACACTGCTTCTCGAAATGGCTAAAATCTATTTTTCTGCACTTTACAATGATGATGGAGGACCGCTTGCTGACATGCCCGCAGCGTTCCGCGAAGTCCCTAATGCCTTGTGGCTGCCTCTACAACAACAGTTTACCGAAGAGGAGGTGTATCAAGCGATCAGGTCTATGGGGGCACTTTAAGCGCCGGGCAAAGATGGCCTCCAGCCTTTGTTTTACCAGCGATGTTGGGACATAGTCGGTCGGCAGTTGTGGAGTTTGTGCAAGGTTGCTGGAGGGAACCGGAACGAGTCAAGGAAGTTAATGCCACTATTGTAGCTCTGATCCCGAAGATTCCACGACCGACGACTATCCAGCAGTACCGACCGATTAGTCTTTGCAACGTGGCTTATAAGGTGATCATGAAATGTTTAGCTGAGAAACTGAAGCCGCTTATGACCCAGTTGGTCCATGAGACCCAGACGAGTTTTGTTTCGTGGCGGCAAATTACTGATAAGATTTCTATTTTGCGGGAAGTTGTTCATTCGATGAGAGCTAAGACGGGAAAAGTCGGGTGGATGACTCTAAAAATTGATTTGGCCAAAGCATACGATCGTATCAAATGGAGCTTCGTTCGCGATACTCTGGTTGCTGCGAAAGTCCCCCAGGATTTCATTGAGCTAACTATGAGCTGCATCACTACCGCTAGCATGCAGATTCAATGGAATGGCGGGCTAACAAAGGAATTTAGGCCATCGAGGGGTCTTCATCAAGGCTGCCCTCTTTCCTTGTACATATTTACGTTGTGCATGGAGTGTCTTGGTCAACTGGTCGAGGCTGCAGTAGCAAGAGGAGATTGGAAGCCAATCAGATTATCGCAGAGGGGTCCATTGCTGTCACACTTGTTCTTTGCTGATGATCTAATCTTTTTTGGTGTGTCCTCTATGGAGCAGGTTCAAGTGATCTCTCAATGCCTTCAGGAGTTTGGAGCTGCCTCTGGTTAGCAAGTTAGCTGGCCAAAATCGCGAGTTTCTTCTCCCAGAATGTTACAGCGGCGGATGCTGCGAGGCTAACTGCTGCGCTTGACATGCCAGAAACAAAGAACTTGGGTCGTTATTTGGGGGTATCTGTGATTCATGATCGCGTTACGAAGGCCACGTACACTGAGCTTGTTGATCGCATCGATTCCAGGTTTGCGGGGTGGCGAATTAAATCATTATCTTTGGCTGGTCGCATTACTCTTGCTCAATCCGTCTTATTATCACTTCCAGCATACACGATGTAGACAGCCTTTCTGCCGGCCTCGGTTCGAGAGTATATTGACAAGAAGATAAGAGGCTTTATATGGGGAAGCTCGGATCTGGGAAGGAAAAATCACTTGGTGGATTGGGAGACTATGTGCAAGCCGAAGGAAGAGGGGGGTTTGGGAATTCGTGATGCAACGAGAATGAATGAAGCTTTTATGATTAAGATTGAATGGAGACTGCTGACTGAAAAGGACAGCCTGTGGGTCCAAGTTATTCGCGGGAAATATTTACGCAAAACTGAGGCAGGATGGGTCCCAAGAGTAACGGGAAGATTATCCAATCTTTGGAGAGGGGTGATTCGTGTTCTACACTACATCCCAGAAGGATCTATGTGGAATATCAATAGCGGCATGCAAACGCTGTTCTGGACCGATCGTTGGCTTCAAGATGGGCCGCCGCTAGCTATCTTTGCGATTAATCTCCCCGAGGCAGCAAGAGGAATTACGGTGGCGGAAATGGTCATGAATGGCAGCTGGAATGAGGCCTTTGCTCGCGTGTTCCTCCCCGAGGATATAGTGGAACAACTATTGCTACATCCAATCCCGCAAGGCATTGAGACGGATGGCCTATTTGGAGGCTCTCCTCTTCAGGACGCTTTACGATGAAGACCGTGTATGGATTAACGAGAGGGGAAGACGATCATCATCACCACCCCATTTGGAAGGTAGCTTGGCAGGTTGAAGGGCTCCAAAGAACACGAGCGATTTTTTGGTTAGCCCTGCATCAACGCCTCCTCACGAATGTCGAAAGGTACAGGCGCCACCTCGCTCAGTCGGATGCGTGCCAAATCTGTGGAGGAGGTCTAGAGACGGCTCTTCATGTTATTAGAGACTTCCCATTCGCCAGGGCTGCCTGGTCAGAGTCACTCCTGGGCGAGCCCGATGAAGCATTTTTTGAACCCGACTTACGTAAGTGGGCTCTACATTATTCTGCTGGCAGTTATGAAAGAACACGAATTCATGGGTTTTTGAGGAAGAATTAATCCCAGCAGCTAACATGGCTCAAAGGGTGCGCTACCTGACAGATCAAGTTAATACCAACCTCACTAATGCTGGGCGGGTTACAGGAGGGAGATCGGAGCGGGAGACTAGGATGATCGGCTGGCAAGCCCCGACCCAGGGGGTGGGCATGCTTAAACACGGATGGATCGGTGATGCTCAGTCAAGGAAGTGCGTCAGCGGGAGGAGTGCTCCGGAGTGAGGAAGGCCGTTTTGTGCGAGGTTTCATGATGAACCTTGGTGGTGGATCAATAACTCATGCGTAATTAGCTGACATCAAATTTGGCTTAAGGCTGGCTTGGGACGAAGGAGTGCGGAAGCTTATTGTTTAGACAGACTCGGCTGCAGCTATTGCTTTGCTCCAAGGTGAGCAGACTCTTCACCCCCACCATGCGCTGGTAAACTCAATCAGGCGGCAGCTGGACCAACAATGGGAGGTTCATATCATGCCCGTGTTCAGGGAAGGCAACTATGTTGCTGATTACTTAGCTTCGGCAGGACATTCCATTCCTGTGGGGACCCAGATTGTGGACATCCCTAGCTCTATGCTAAATTATTGGCTGTACTTCGATTTGCTCGGGTTACAAACACCCCGTATTATTAATATCTAAGGGCTGAGCGCCCCTCTGCGCTCGCATTCTTCCAAAAAAAAAAGGGTTAATTGCACAGATTGCCACTTAAGTTCACCATTTGTTGCACGATAACCACCTAAGTACGTTTTGTTGCAATTAAATCACTTACGTCCAATTCTGGTAGCACCATTATCATTTCCGTCTCTATGGCTAACTATAGGTGCCAAAATGTAAATAACCATGCCAATTCGGATTGCCACGTCAACTGCAGACTGCTGACTCATATTTGGACCAATGCCACTGCATGACCCACTAAATCCAAAGAGTTCCTTTTATGCGGGGAAACTTCTCATTTTCAGAACATCAATTAGCAACCGAACTGTCAACCACCCTTTCCTAGAGAAAAAAAAAAAACAATCATCAAGAAGATTTTTTTTGGCGACTTTACGCATTTTCATTAATCAGAAAATTGTTTTTATTGACAAATAGCAACTTACGCAATAACCATTTTCAACACATTTTGCACCTAACCCCACTTCTCTTCCTCCTCTTCGATGGAGACAACCATCGTCGCCCAACCCTCACTTTCCCAATTTGGATTATTATCTCCGGTTACCAAAGAAGATGACAGTGGATCTAGGCTTTTGAGTAACCAGATCCGCCGGAAGAAAGGGAGAAAGCTGTTGGTAAACAGGTTGGACTCGCCGTCACAATGGCGACACTGCACCAGCGTAGATAAGGGTTCTTGGAGCAGAAAAAAAGGGATATGATCTAGTTCTCCAACATCATCGCGTCATTCATCAGGATGGAATCGTAATCACCCGCCTCTTCATCACGATCATCGTGGTCGTCACAAGAACCCCGGACGAGCAGCTCGACCAAGAAGAGGGAATCGAGTGCCAGCGACGATGCCAGAGTTGAATCGAGGATGTCGAGGTGGGAATCATACTGATTGCTGACAGCAAGGGGACCACTTCTTGGTCCGTGAAGTCACGCAAGTCGTCGTCGATGTCGCCTCCTGCCGGCGGCACTAGTGACTTCGGCCTTGTTCCAAGAACCGGCGCTTGACGGCGTCCGATTCTCGAAGCAGTGGCCTAGAACGGAGAAAGGGTCCCAGATCCACGAGCTGTGGAGTATAAGATTTCGGATCCCAGATTCTGAAGAATGCCTGCACAGGGAAAATTGATGGTACTAGTTGGTGAGGTTTTAGATACAGACACGCTGGGGGGGGGGGGGGGGGAATAGGGCCAAATTTTAAAATAGTTTGGGGATAGCATATATTTCTAATTCTGGGCTAGACCCTATTTAAAAATCCCGGAGGCCCAAATCCCAACTGTTTTAAATTAGTTAAATTCCTAGACGGGCCAAAATTTGGGCCAAATCCCTACCCTCATTTTTAGATCCAAACGACCCCTTAAAGTATTGGTGTTTTAGTTTTAGTTTTTATGATATAACGTATAGTATTACCGTTAACGTTATGGTACGTATACTCATTTGTAAAATCCTTTTATGGTACACACTAAAGTTGTACCATAACATAAAGGTGAAATTCACTTATTCTACAATTTCAATTTGTACTTTTAACGTTATGGGACAACTTTAAGTTATACTTTAAAACACCAATACTTTATAGTACCGTATAAGTGATGTAATGTACGTAGGTCATCATAATGTACCAAGAAACCAAACACTCAAAACATATGGAAAACTCCAGCAATAATAACAAAGCTATCCATGTATCTCTGGATTGGATTTTCATTTTGAAACTATTAAATTCGATTGAATTACAGAGCATAATATCAGCTAAATAAACACGTAACATTGTTTTTATTCTTACGTCCAACGAATTTTATTTTTACCCCTCTTAATTAATTTCTAACCATCTTCATGATCAGTCTTTCTGACCCTAACAATCGAATCATCCACCAATCTTGACCATTGTTGGACCACCATCTCAGGCAAGCCAATCACATTGCCGTGAAGGAGCGGAGCTAGGTGAGGTGTTGGGGGCCCCAGCCCCCTTAAGATTTTAGAACCGACATGTAATTTTATACGAAATTTAGAAAATTGCGTATAAACAAACAAATATTTATATATACTTACGTAACCAGGAAAGAATCAGAAGTCCCTTCCCAACCTATATTAGCGAAAGCACATATTACCCTCGCCTCAATTGACCAGAGTTTGAGTTACAGTGGGAGCAAGTTAGTTGAATTTTTATTTTCGCCTAGTTTTTTCTTTCAAAAATTTTACCCCAAAGTTACTAAAAACAATATATTACATAATGTTTTCAATTTTTTGTTTTCATTTACCAAATATTCAATTTAATTTTAATATTTTTATAAGTTCAGACATTTTAAACCACTTTTTCCTTTTTTCTTTCAAAATATTTACCCCAAAGTTACTAAAAAAATATTAATTAATATTTTCAATCTTTTTGTTTGCATTTACCAAAGATATAATTTAATTTTAATATTGTTTTTATAAGTTCAGTCATTTTAAACTACACAAATTTAATTCTTCAACTTTCGAATTCATATTTGTCTTAGTTATATTAATTGGGGTGCGCCTATGGTGCCTTGCAATTCACTGTAACTTGTATTTTTCGGTCGATCTCAGTTAGGATTAGGTCGACCTAATATATTGTTTCAGTGTAAAACAGTTTCATGGTGCCTACTTTGGAGATTCATATCTTACAATTGGCTCAGCGAAAATTGGAGATTAATGACTTGTTTTGAAGTTGGAGTGTCCCTGTACATATTGAAGTGCTTGGGAGCTCGATAGGAAGTCTACAAGACAATTTTCAACCTGATCAAAAGTCTATGCCAAAACTGGGAACGCGTTTGTGAAGTCTACTTTGAAACTCAATTCGAGAAGCATTGATGCGATTCGAGTCCATGGGCCTTTACCACATGAAAGTAGGTATGTTTTTCTACAAATAAAATGCATTGGATGAAAGATTGGATACCTGGAAGGCTTCAAAAAATAAAAAAAAAGGCTCGAAGTTGCTTCAAACAAAAGGTTTCAAGCTGTCAGGAAAACAACCTTCGTAGCAACTTCGAGTCTTTTGTTTGAACCCTTCCATATATCCATTTTTTTCATTCAATGCCTTTCCTTTGTAGATAAACCTACCTAATTGCACGTGGTAAAGGCCCCTGAACTCGGCTCTTATCAATACTTCTCGAATTGAGCTCCAAAGTAGGTTTAAAAAACACGTTCCCAAACTTCATTAGCCATTTTAAGGTAGTTTTCCAGTTTTGGCATAACCTTTTGATCAAGTTTAAAATATTCTTATGAACTTTCTATCGAGCTCTCAAGCACATCAATGTGTAGAGGGACACTCAAGTTTCAAAACAAGTCATTAATCTCCAATTTCCGTCGAGCCAATTGTAAGATATGAATCTCCAAAGTAGGCACCGTGAAACTATTTTTACACTGAAACAACAAATTAGGTCGTCCTAATCCTATGTAAGGTCAATCGAAAAGTTCAAGTTACGGTGACTTAGCAAAGTCCTATTAATTGTCTTCAAATATTAACATACATATATTTATTTTATGGTTATAAAAATATCAAAAGACATGTTATACATTATAATACATGATTTGTTTGTCCAAGATTAATATTTTCAGTTATAAAAATATTGAAGGACATGCTATTTATTGGAATGCATGATTTATTTTTTTCATATAATCTAATTACTTGTTTGGAACATAATACCTTATAATTTTTTTCATATAATTTAATGAGGTGTTCATAAACTTTACATTTTGCTGATTAGTAAACGAAACTTTTTTCGGCACTCCCGAACCTCAAATCATGGCTCTGCCCCTGGCCGCGATCAAAATATTATTAAATTTTTCATTAAATATTGATTCTCGCTTAATATATCAACAATCATATATGTGAGCTCACTATATCGTAAGATAAATTTAATGAAATTTGATGAATAATGAGCATTGGTACGTGAAAAAAAAAAGTCTAAAGCTATTGGTTGTCTTGTCGGGCTAGGAAAATTCTCCAGATGCAAAGAAGTTATAAATTCAGTAACCAATGATGCAATAAACCCATTACAAACACTGTTAACCAATCCCTAGCCAGGCCAATTGATCTCTCATACATAGATACGATCAGATCCATTATTGAAAAACCACTCGAATTCAAAAAAAAAAAAAAACCCCACTCTAGTACAGCAAGCCGAATGATCGAAGACAGATCTGTCTACGGAAACAATATTATTATTGAAAAACGATCAGAAGGATCCCTCCTCCGTCTGATGAAAGAAACGACCAGAAGGTCCGCCGTCGGGCAGCAACGCGAGCTTGACCGGACCTGCAGCGCCTTCACCGGCGGTGCTGGTCCCAGTGTTGGCGTTAATGTCCGTCTTCACGTATCCCGGGCAAACACAGTTGATGCACAGATTTGGGTACTTCTTCTTCTTGGCATCGATCATCCTACTGTAGGCGTTCAGTGCTGCCTTGGACACTGTATATGCAGAAACTCCTTTGGTTGCCAACAAGCCTTGGTTGAGGTCTCTCATATACTGCTTCACTACTTGTTCCACTCTCTCTTCTGTTAGATTCTCGACGTCCCTCAGTACAGCCGTAGCCCATTCGTTCTGGACGTACTGTGACGTAAAACATGCATGCATGGGCAGCAAATAATGGTTGGTGAATCAGATTGCTGAAGCAGAGGCAAGAATGTCTCCATCATCTGTTTGGGGCCGTAGTAGTTTGCTTTCAAGCATTCCTCCGCCAACTTGTATGCGCCTGATATGACCTCTAGCCCCTGATGCTGGAAGAAAAATGAAAAAGATGAACTTACAGTTTCTACTCCTAATACGTATATATTGCTTCCAATTAAGACAGGGCGTTACCTTGTCTACCCCGGCAGCAGCTCTGATGGCATCTACGTCGATTATGTCCACAAGTATTCCAGCATTATTCACCTAAGAAACACAACAAATGCCCACTAAGATTTCCACACACAGAGCAAGAATCAGTTGGTGTGAATAATACGAGTTGTTGGGAGAGATTAAATAATGATTTATACCGTTCACTAACATACCTTGTCAAATGGAATCCAATCAATTCATAGGGGATGTGTTACATGTCATGAATACAAGAGTATTATATGCTTTACAAATACAATCATAGGGTTTCGAAAAGAGTACCTCTCTACCATTTAATCTCAATAGTTTGAGACAAATTCAAAAATAAATCTTATACCACTTCGTCACTCACCAACAAACTAACAGAAATAACAGATTAAAAAAAATGAAATATGGGTAGTTACATACCAAGATGTCAAGCTTCCCGAACTGGGTGGTGACGAAGTTGGTGAGGGAAGAAATGCTGCAACTGTCTGCCACATCGAGTTGATGGAAGATGATGTAGTCTGCTAGAGATGGGTCACCATTTTTAAGCCTTTCAAGGGCTTGGAGGCCTCTGCTCTCGTCTCTGGCTGTTAAAACAACCAGAACACCGTTAGAAGCCAACTGCCTGCATATCTCAAACCGAATCCCCTTGTTTCCGCCGGTCACCACTGCATTTAACCTGCGAAACAAAACACACACCGCTCGTTAAGAAGATAAAGATGTATAGAAGAAAATGAAGCAGCATATTGGTTGCTTGCCAGTTATTGGTGACTGAAATTTGGGAATAGGAATTGCCTCTTGAAGCTTGTTTCTGCCATATATGGGTTTGAGTTTTGATCACGAAAATTGAAGACTACATATGCTTGCTTGCTAGTTACTGAAGCTATATATAGCTAGTTTAGCCCCTGTCCCACGTTCAGAAAAAGCAGATTGAAATACATTTACGCACTGACCTCGAAGGTTCCATGGCGATCGAGTCGTCTTCTCCTTTGACTTGTCTTGTCTTATCTTGGGACTAATAATTAAGAAGCCAAGTTCTACATTGATTCTAATATTTTTATATATGCTTTTTCTGAGATTCGGTCATTTCTGCATCTTCGCATGCAGGTGCCCATCTATATCTATAATTCCAGTTTGTTAATGTTTTCTTCGGTTGATTCCTTCATTCAATTTCTTTGAGCTTAGTCGTCTAGAAACAGGTTACGGGTTGAGTTCGGCAAATATTGTCGGCAGGCGACAACACACGGGACTAAATAGAAATAATTATTTGCAGAAGAAATGTTGGTTTTGATCTCTTCCTGATCATAATAATGTTATTGAGTAGGAGCTAGTAGGCTGTTACTTTTGTCTCGGAAATCTAGAAACGAACCAATGCCCCTTTCTGTAAAAGAGGCTTATTTGATTCGTTAGTCTACCGAGTGGAGCCTATAATCCCATCAATCCACTTAAATCAAATTGATCATAAAAAACTTTTAAATAATAAATTCAATTAGCTAAATTAGCCGAACCATAAGTACGCAAATACAACTTGTTTTATGTACCATTGCGGTACACGATAATCACTTGTTGCATGTGGGGAGCACTCTCATTAGTTGGATTATTGATTTATTTTTTCACTATGGGAAAAGAGTCAAAGTCACTTTTTACACACAACACGTATGTCACAAGTAAATTTTAGATTGCCTAACTATAGAGTTACGCAATATATTTTCAAGATAGTGTCGCCAAAAAACATCAGTTTTGCTATTGCAAGGTTAATGTAACACCTTAGACGAATTCCAAATCGACAAAGCATGGGAGAGATCAATGGTTCATAAGAAAAAATTGGCTTTAACTACCAAGACGCGTTTTGAGGTGAAATGGAAGAGTTCTTGGGAGAACTCCGAAGTTAAACGTGCTAAGTGTGGAGTACAACAAGGATAGGTGACCTTATGGGAAGTCACCTTCAATTGCACCCCAAGTCGAAAACCTTGAGGGTCGAGTCCCAAAGCGGACGATATCTTCGTCGCGAAAAAAGTTCGGGAAGTTACCAGTTAAGTGGTACACTGGTACTTATAGGTGTCAAAACATGACCCGACCCGAGTAACCCGCCCAACCAACCCGATCTGCGACCCGCCCGCAACCCGATTAGACTAAAAGTCAAAGACCGGCAACCCGCCCGACCCGTAACCCGCTTGACCCGTAACCCGCTTAACCCGCAACCCGCTTGACCCGAACCCGATTGACCCGCAATCCGCTTGACCCGCAACCCGCTTGACCCGTAACCCGACTAACCCGAACCCGATTAACCCAACCCGAACCCGCCCGATTGGCATGAATAATACTACATAATATATTTTTGTGCATAAATATTATATGTAGATAATATATATATATAAAGTTTATGTGACTTGCCCTATTATTTTTTCATCTTTCCCACCAAGAACAAAGGTTTACTTTGTGTTGACAAATAAAAACTGTCATTTAATTGAATCACATAATAGTCTCACTGTCTCGGTAGATAAGTAGAAATACTATGAGGGTTGTCAACATTTTTTACATTTGGTTGATGTATATAAATAATATATATTGATAACACATACATATGAAAAACATGATTGACTTAATTAAGCCAATCATATATCAGTACCTAATAATTACAACATTTTTTCTTCCACACATAAATTGACTTAACTAACATTCTTCACATATCATACGTTATACTTTATACCAACAATTTCATAACACATAACTATAGTTCATGGTTTAAGGTTAGTGTATAGGGTATACGGTAGTGGACTCGTGGTTTAGAGTTTGGAGTCATAAGACGTATGTTCTTCTCAATAACCGAATATAAAATTGACTCAACTTACATTCTTCACATAACATACGTTATAGCTTATACTAACAATTTCATAACATATAACTATAGTATAGGGTATAGGGTTAGGGTTTAGGGTTAGGGTATAGGGTTACGGTTTAGGGTTAGGGTCTAGGGTTTATTCATGGTTATACTTTATGTTGGATATTTTGATTTTTATAGTTTATTAATTAATTTGATTTTAACAATTAGTTTAACTTGTGAATGTGCATCTTAAATATATCATATATCACCTTCAACCCATCTTGGGTTATGGACTTATAGTTAAGGGTTGAGGTTAGTTTTAGGGTTAATTACTTAATGTTGTGATTTAGGATAATGTATGGTTGATGGTTAAGGTTAGTTTTAGGTTTCGGATTTAAAATGGTGTTATAGGGTTAGGATTTAGGGTTTCTTCATGGTTAGGGTTTAGGGTTTCTTCATGGTTATGCTTTATGATAGATATTTTGGTTTTTATAGTTTATTAATTAATTTGATTTTAACAATTAATTTAAAGACCATAGTTAATAATAAAAAATTACCTACAGTATCTAATACGGTAGCCAATATTATCATACCGTAGCTATTAGGAGGAATTACAGTATTTGTTGTTCTTAAAATACTAAGCTGAAGTTTTACGGTAGCCTTTACTTTTTTTATATAATAAACTTTTTCTTCATATGTTTTTGTTGGCCATCCTAAAAATTGGAATGGGTTTGCTGAAAGAGCTCGATCCGGGTCACGTAGTGGGAGACATTGTTTCCTCCGTCGATATTATTTAATCAACGACTGTATGAAGGATTTGTTTTAGACGTGGATAGCTGACTTGGATATGCCTTCGTTTTGTGGAAAAAATCTTCCTTCCTTATCTCTTCGTAGACCGCAGGCCATTCACTCTCCACCTCCATCAAACTTGAACTCCTTAATCGATTACCTCGTAGCCTGCAAATCGTTTTCCAGTGGTGATCTCCATAGATCTCCATCATCTCTATCCCTACTCCCTAGCATCTCCAACCGTCTCCAGCACTCTCTTCCTTTTCCTTTCTCTCTCTGCCTCGGCAAAAAAACTCTTCCCTTTCCATGCGCCTTTTCTGCGCCTTCCCTTCTCTATAGATCGGTAAAAAAAATCCTCCCATTCAATATCAATCGGCCATTCTCCATCTCCATATTCTCACCACAGCTCGCAAATCTTCCGTTTGTCACCTTTCAATTCTCGCCACGCGCTCGAATCCGCCCCGTGAGCAAAAGCCAAACCCTAGAAGTCAAGTCCAATCCCAGCTTCCCTCGTCCTGTCGTCAGCCGCCGGTAACAGCCCGCCCTCTCCATTCGCAGCAATAGCTATCGATTTTCCCAGGTACGTCTATCCCGCTCTTCATTCTGTAACAAAGCAAAAAGAGAGAAAATAACATGGAGGAAGAATGAGGAACAAGAAAGGAACCAGAGGATTGTGCTATTTGGCTGGAGGGGAACTTCGTTAGTTCTATTTTGCTCGCAGAATCGCAGATCTTGTTCTGTCTGTGAGGCTCTTCTGCATTTTGTTGTTCTTCTTGTATATTTTTTTTATGAATGCGAATATGCGATGAACATGACTCCAATTTATTGTTGAATTTTATTGATTGTTTTAATTGATTGGAGTTGTGTTTTCCACCGAGCATTTCCCCTAGTTTAATCGGTTTAAATTTATATTCGCCTATTTGGTATAGAAAGAAAGAAGTGAACGGGAGAAGAGCAAACTCGGCTTCCCCTGTTCTTTAAGTTCCTCTGTTCTAAACTTTCCTTTGTTCTGCTATTTTCTCTTGAAAAGTTCGTCGGAGGTGGAGAAACCTAAAGTCCAAAATACACCTGAATGGAACCGGGTCTTTGTTGTTGTTAAAATGGAAGATCTCTCCCTCCATATTGATTTGAGTACAGGTATTGGGTGGCGGCTGATCAATTGTAATTGTTTATCTTTGTTTTGCACCTCGTTAATGATATTGATAATAATGTAATGGGAATGGACATGGTTCTTTCAAGTTTAATAATTATTAATTAATGATGAATTCAGTTTAATAATTAATTAGTGATTTGCAAGATGACAACAAATAGTGCTTTACAATTTGGATTCTAGTAGTAATTTGTAGTTTGAGAAGAAAGAAGAAGAAGTTCCAGCTCTTGGCCATAGTAAGTAAGCTCCAGTAGTTGTTATAGTTAGGCCTTGGTGGGTTTAACAGATGAGAGAAGGAGGGCAGGTAAGGAAACGAGAATCTGTCTGGTATGTGCTGGAGACTAGCGAGTGTATTGCTTCTGTTTAAGAAGTGTTATTGTAATTAGCACGAAACAATTTTCGTAGTTTCACTATGTTATCATGTTTGTTGCTTCTTAAATGAAACTTTGTAGGATTAGTCCATAAATGAGTCAATTCCTTAGATGAAACTTCAGTTGTCATGTTATCGTGTTTGTTGCTTCTTGCTTGATTGATTATGTAATTCTTTTCTTTTCGTTTCTTTTTTTAGGAGCAATGGACGCTAGGGCTAGAAGAAGCAAAGTTTGGGAGAATTTCACTCATGTTGAATCAGAGGAGGAGGTCAAGCTTCAATGCAACCATTGCATGAAGGTTTTTGGATGCAATCCTAATAAGAATGGGACAGTTTCACTGTGGAGGCATCTTAAGATGTGCACTAAGGGAAATCTTCAAGATTAGTGGAGCCTTATGTACTTTACTGTATTTCCTTCATTATATTTGCCTAAATGTTATGTAATGGTCTCAACTCTCAACTATCAAGACTCAAGATACGGGCTCATAGGTTTATGATCAACCAAGTTGTCAGCTTTTTAATTTCTTGTTGCTCCACTATTTATTATTTTATTTATGTTGGTTTTGTAACCTTAATGAATCCTCTGCAAGGTACCAACAACTAGGAACATAAAACTTGTTAATGTTATATTGAAGCAAAATATAGTCACTCATTTGTTTAATAATGTACCTTCATGTTTTTTTCATTGCAATATGGTGATCGGTGAGTTTGTTTTAAATTAGTGTAATAACTAATTATAAAAAAACTCGATGGTTTGGACCGAACAACCCGTAACCCGACCTGTTGTAACCCGCAATCCGATCAACCCGAACCCGATTGATCCGCAATTCGATCAACCCGAAACCCGATTGATCCGCAACCTGATCAACCCGAGCCCGATCAACCCGCCACCCGATCAACCCGCAACCCGATCAACCCGAACCCGCTTGACCCGCAACCCGCTTGACCCGCAACCCGCTTGACCCGCGACCCGACTGAACCCGACCCGAACCCGCCCGATTGACACCTATTGGTACTATTAATGTTATTCTGTGTTGCTGGTAAATCAATGGCAGAACAACCTATAACACAATTCTCTTCAATTTGCGTGAGAAGAATTGTTGAACAAGACCACGTTGTATATTTATATAGTTGAAGGACCTAGCAGTAATTTTCCCTTTTTGTACCCTAATACCAATGTGAGAGGTATATAAGGCTGGGTCGTGTATGTCTGTCGCATATACTGAGGAAGAGCAGTTTTCTAGCTGCATGATACTAAGAGATCAGCTGAGAGCGTTTGCTCTCAGTGGAGTAGTCCCGTTCACACCAAATGAGAAAACCATGTTAAATCGTTGTGTTGTTTGCTTCTTCATTTTTGCTATTTTATGTGATACCAGAGCTTTGATCCGTATCAGAGAGTACTGCAATCATGACCATCGGAGAAGATTGTGGTAAGGGTGGTGTCACCTACGCTGAGGTCATCCCACTCACGTCGCCACTCTATCTTCATCCGTCGGAGAATCCAAGCCAATTATTTGGAAGTGATCTCTTGACAGATTCGAACTATAGCGAATGGGTAAGCGATATGACCGAAACCCTAACCCTAATCGCAAAGAATAAGCTGGTGTTTGTCGATGGCAGCTTTCCACGATCGAAATCAGGACCTAGCATCATGGATGAAGCTTGGGGAAGATGTGACGCCACAGTAAAGGGCTGGCTTAAGACAACCATGAGCAAAGAGGTTAGTAATAGCGCCAGGGCCACGCGGATGGCATGCGCAATATGGGCGGATCTCACGCAAAGGTTTGGCAAGGGCTCGGCCAACTGGGCTTTCGTGCTACGTCATTCAATCAGGTCGCTGCGACAGGATAAGCTCTTGGTGTCGGCCTTCTACATGAAGCTCGTGACGCATTCTGGGATGAGCTACATTCTGTCTATCTCAACCTAGGTTGTTCATGCGGGAATTGCACATTTGATATTGCGCGCCAGGTAAGAGAAAGGGAAGAAGCCAAAAGGTTGTTTGACTTTTTGTTGGGTCTGGACGATGTGTGTGTCGTGGTCCACTCGCAAATTCTGCGTGCCAAACTAATCCTACCGTTGACCGAGGCGTACCAACTTGTGGGTACCGAACAGCAGCAGCGACACACAACGGGCGGGAGACGTCCGTCCATAGAAGCAGTTGCATCTTGAGTCGACAAGACAAGGAGATTGGAGAGGTACCAAGGTGCAACCACTGCAAAAAAAACTTGGTCACCTCAAGGAAGCTTGCTACAAACTAATTGGCTATCCTGGCCAGGAAGAGAGAAATCGCCAAGGCGAGCATGGAGTTTCCCAAACCCCACGTCGAGGAAAAGGCGACGGCAAGCCCCCAGCAACCACAAGCAGCGAACGCCGAGCTCGAGCACAACCCTATTTCGGGTATCTCCGCAGCTCAATTTTCCCAATGGAAGCAACTATTGACCACACCAACACCTCCGGCTTTAGAAACAACTCCACACATGGCTGGTAACTCCCCTGAACTATATGAGTGGCTCATCGATTCTTGTTGTAGTGAGCATATAGTACGCGATTTTGGTTGGTTAAGTCAAGTTGACAGCACTAGTTCCCATCCCCCCGGTTTACATCCCGGATGGAACGATTTCAGTTAGTCCTAACTAGAGATAATCACGTGAACTTGGTTTTTGCGGGTGATATGTGCCTAATTCAGCACTCACACTCCAAGACCACAATTGGGATGGGTCGTCTTTGTAATGGGCTCTATTATCTCCATCACATGGAAGGGCAGGGACGGCGAGATGTGAATTCCTCTGGTGTTTTCGTGGGCGCAACGAAGGAGTCAATGGAGCTTTGGCACGCTAGGTTGAGGCACCCATCGGTTGAGAAATTTCAGTTTTTGAAAGATAGTTTGTCTTTGTTGGATCAAACTCGTACGTAGGGGTGGAAATCAGTACGATACCGGTATCCCAATACCAAATACCGAAATCGCGAATACCGAATTACACCCTAAAATCAATCCCAATCCCTAAATAATTTTGGTATCCCAATTCCTAAATATTTTGGTATCCCAATCGGTACTTTGGTATCCCAATCGGTATTATCGAATACGAAATTAATTACCTTTATAATTAATTATTAAATATATAAATTAGATTTGATTGTTTAATATAGGACAAAGAGACTAAACAAAGAGTCTTGAGTTTGGCTAGATCAAGGATATTGATAAGGAGAATGGAGGAGAGGTGACATCTCAAGTTTTTATCATTGGTAATTTTTAATTTGACAAATAAGAGGCTGGGAGAAGACTAATATTAATGTTTGCTTTTTGGTGTTATGAAAATAACAATAGATTGGTGGTTTAGGGTTGTGTAGTAGTGAATGAGAGAGTCTAATCGAGAGGATAAAATATACACTAGCTTTTATTGTTCGGTAGTTCAGTATACTGATCCCAATCCCGTAATCCCTAATACTGAATAACAATTGAAATTGAATCCCAATCCCAATCCTAAGAAATAATACGTGTATTCGATAATACAAAATATAGACAAATTTGGTATATCCGAAATACCGATACCAAACTTTCATACCTACTCGTAGGGCAGCATTGTGATTATTGCCTTCGATCTAAACTCACAAGAGAACCTTTTGTTTCTCATTAGATAAAGACTAGTGCTTGTTTTGAGATTATTCATATGGATATTTGGGTTAGTTATTGACTCGCTTTTACCGTCACACTAGAAAATGGACAAATGAAACCACTTACTAGAGCTTAGTATAGCGGGTATATGTTTTAATGTCAACCCGAGTCCTAAGTGTGCTGACTACTCCGTGAATTCTTATTATTTAGCAATGTGAATGTAGTAAAGGTCTGAGTAAACAAATTAAACAAGCAAAGCAGTAAACGGTTGTTTTCAAGTTGAGAGAGGTCACCCGGATATGGTTCCCCCTATACTGCAGTTAAGCCAGATTATAATTCACCAAGTTCAAATTCAAAAATAGTTATACTGCGGGAGGTCCTTAAACAGTCTGCAATCTCGACTAAAGGTCTCCAGACCCTCTCAATCTGAATCCCCAACGGGCGACTAACCTCCACCGGAGTAAACAGATTGAGGCCCTAACGAACAAAACCTCCTCTACTAGAATAAATCAAGTACAGAATAGTGAATTGACTCCTCGACTAAAGTCGCCAATTCACGACCTTCAATTAAGGGTACTCTATCAACCTAGGAAGATATTATCTTTCTAGGTCAAAACAGGAACAACATGAATGTAATCAGGGTTCATGCCATTCATCAATTCAAACCTCAATTGAATATAATCAAACCAATGGATTCATACTTGGGTTCATACAATTAGATCTAACACACAAATCTAGGGTTCTCCATACCCAGATGAATGAGAAAGTTACTCCATGGAGAGAGAAGAAAAAGCTAGCTTAGATGCATAAATCATGCTGTGAAGGATGGGATTCTGCTTCTGGTCGTTAATCGGCACTTCTCCAAGTGTTAGCCGAGCTCCAGTGGTGATGAGGATCGATCTAAAGCACTTGGAAACTCTGGTTCGTCGCTTTCTCTCTCTAGGTATCACTTTCTTTCTCTAAAACTCGGAGCCCTTCAAATTTGCCCTTCTTTTGCCTTAAGAACCTTCCATTCGCTATCCCCAGTCAGAATCCCCGGTCGGGTGTTTTAGGTGCCCGGCCGGGGATTTTTGAAACGCAACGTGTTGGCAGAGGATTAATCCCCGATCGAGGTCAAGAATAACCGATCTGGGATTTAAGCATTCCGGCCGGGACCCCTCCTGGGATTTCAGCTTTTCCCCGGCCTCTCCTTGCCTTTTACCCGGACGGGTATTTCCACTCCTGGCCGGGTATTTTGCTCCTCCAGCTCCCTTTTACTCCAACGGTCTCCTTTTGACCCGAAACTCGATTCCTCGCCTCCACGTCAATGCCAAATCCTGAAATGTTACATACACACACAACCTAGCGTGAAATCGGCTTCAAACACGAGAATCAACATCTCAAACAGCTCAAGAATGGAGGTAAAAATTATGTGCAATTAACGGTCTATCAAATTCCCCCACACTTAACCGTTTGCTTCTCCCCAAGCAAACCTAATCAAACCAATGCAACTCTCCAGACCTCTATAACAACAAAAAACCCCGATCGTCGGTAGAGGATTTCCTTGATCATATAGCAGCTTACGAGGTCAACTAGTCTTCTAAGACGTTCCCTATCTCTCTCAATGCGAGTACAAGACTCAAGCTAGGATCATGAGAAGAAGTGGAAGAAAGACAACCAGCTCATGGATAAAGGGACTCACACCATTCACAACCAAGGACTCATTGTACTTGTACTGGGGTGCTCTTTCACTTCATTTCACCATTGGAACCCCTTTTTTCACTTTCATTTTATATTTCTTTTATTTTTTTCATTCACTTGGCGGGGGTTCCAACCGCAGTCTTTTGCATGGTCGACCCTTATTAGTCGAGCAAGAGCAATTTCTGTATATCTGGCGCTCGCCAGAGTACTTCTTTTAACTCATTTTCCTCAACTAGTGTGGAGGGTCAATGAAATTAAGAGGGGTCGGAAGCTCTATCCATGCCCTTAAAAACACATCCTCGAGTAGACAAACCGTTCAACGGGTGGAATTTTTACTTTTACTAGAGACAACTTAGCTCTAGAGTTGTACTTTTGTTCAATGTTGCCTTACAATTTACTCCCTAAATCATTAGTTCCAATTTTAGATGGTTTGTATTTCGAGAGTATAAAATGTGAGTAGTGCGATTAATAGACAAAGGTGATTATTAGTCTTTCTCTAAGTTTGCGTCGACGAGTAGTCCTCTCAAAACTAGTTGTTCTAAAATCCTAAGCATTCATCTTATTGATCTAGGAAAGGTTTAGTTTGTTTGGATTTGTGGCATATGGGTATTCTGAATGAATTCCAGTTGATAACATATTCAGAAGTTAATAGTCATTCTTGATTTTCCAAATAATTTTCGTTTACAGTTTGGATTGAGAATCGTTCGGTTCTTACTTTTAGTACTCCTTTTTTGTTGTCTTCCCCTTAAAAATGTGATTCTTCTTCTTTCTTCTTTGAAGATTTCTGCTTCTGATTTGTCATTAATCTTACATTTAGCTTCTTTCATTCATTGCAATCTAGAAAGGTCAGTTTGCTTTGTTAGTTCATAGAACTGGGACTACATTGAGCCAGGTCCGCTTGATAACTTCCCCAGCTTACTTACCACAGGATTTGTACCTGCGATTGTATCGCCATCAAACTGATGACACAACAAAGGAATGAGGAATAGGTATACAGCTAGAAGTGCACTCTCTTACACTTTTTGCTCAACTGGAAAAAGGTTCCCGTTATGTCCAATCTATGCTGATACTTTTCATTTCTTTCCAACTTTTGTATATGGTCTTATAGTAAACTTGACGCATGACTTGATCGCTTAAAATGTGTAAGCTTGGAGGTTTTGAACTTGATTTGATCTTTGTTCAAGTATGATAAGAAGTTTATTCTCCCATGAATCTGGGTATGTTTTATTCATACCTTCTCCTTTTTTATGTTTCCCATCTTTCCCCTTTGTTTGTGGTTCAGTTAGCCTTTCTTCATGTTTCCTTAATTTGACAGGTATTTCCCCCTTCCACGAATCTAGGTTTCGCACATCATATCTGTTCATTTTAGCAAGATAGAAAAGTAGCAGTTTTTTGGATTTGTTGGTCGATTCTGTGGGTGTGGTACGTAGCAAAAAGCTTACTGCTGCCACATTTAAAATCAAGATTTGGTATTACCCAAGTTAGATTGTTTAATGAATCTGTCTTCTAGCCTGGAAGAATACGATAGACAGTAGAACTACATCGCCTCTAAAGTCTTTTTTTCTTTTCAACTTGGCAATTACTGGAAACTACATTTTTGTTATCCGTGTTTTCATTTCTCAAAGCAAAAATGAACCATCAATCAGTATTCAAGAGAAACTGTTGGCTCAACTTTGTACTACGATAGATAATCCAGTTCTGGTCTCCTAATTTCATTGGTTGTTGTTCATGCAGTCTTGCAGTGATGCTTTTTGCATATCGTATTTTTCCCTACTGCTTTTACTTTCTGCCCTGGGTTGTAGACTGCTTAGCCGTGGTCTATCTTGGTTCTTTTTCATCCCCCATGTGCCTTATCTTACCCTATATCCTTGCTTCTTTGTTTTTATTACTCTAATGCACCTTGCCCTGCTTAGTTTGGGTCAGTTCATTGTCCTTTTCTCATTTCTGGACTCAACATATATAGATGCAATTTATATGCAAGGCCGATATTTACTTTGATGAGCAACCACTTGGTGATTCTGATGGGATGTGGCTTTGAGTCTCAAGTGAGATTGTCCGCTTTTTAAGAGGCCTATTTGGTTTGAGAACTTCGAAACAATTTCTTTCTCGCGAATCTTATCTGGATTTTGTGTTTGGTTTTGGAAGGTGTGACTCTATATCTCAGCCAAGCTTTGCCCTTGGACTATTTCACAGGCATAGGAAGAGTACTCGCCATGATCTTAGTGGGTACAATATCTTATTTGAGCAGGTTGCTATTGAATTACCATTCTCATATATTTTGGATTCCATTTTTGTTACCCTCTTCAACTAATGTTTATTTGTTTGGGTGGAGTCTACCTTGCGATGTTGTGGGCAACAACCAAGTCATGAGAGTTGCAACAGGTCAATATTACAGTTTCCCACCATTCCTGAGTAATTGAGAATTGGTAAACCGGTCTTGGTTTCTTTAGTTGTCAACAACAACCTACTTATATGTAAATGTTCAATGCTGATAACATTGTTTTCATTTTTGCGATCATGAAGTCTTCTTATCAAGAGTTTTAGGTAAACACTTGCTTTGTGGATGCAACGACACCTTTTTCATTTTCCTGACTTTTATACTTCACCCTATAGGCTAGCATCTGTTCGATTAATTAATGTCACTAAATGACCTTTTACTACGCTTCACATCTGACACCTCTCAAGCCTTTTCTTTTGCTAATGATTATATTTGTTCTGGGCCTTATTTGATCATGATCATTAGGTTTTATGCTTCTTGCTCTTTTAGATATTTTGATTCCTTGAAATCCTAACATGTATTGCAAATCCCTTCATATCTTATGTGATTTTCTTACAGCATTTGGAATTTATTCAATACTTTGTGATTTGTGGAGATTTAGTTCTTCTATCAGATATTGAAGCGGTATCTGCAGAGCGTAGAGCTGCAGAATGGACACATAAACCCACTTTTGTTGCTAACCAGTTTATGAGCCGTATGCAACAGTAGTCTCTTTTGCCTTTCATTTTCGTTGGTGATCATTTTAGGGATTCCAAAAGGGCCCTCTCAAGGCTCAACACATGTGGCTAGAGGCTCAACAAGTTCTTACAATCCAGTATGTGAATCCAGGATGCCAAGCTTAATTGTGATTATCTATTTATATTGACAAATGATTAAATTAAGCAAATGACATGTTTA